CCAGAGGAGTGGCTGATGCATTTCCTGGTGAGACTGGGAGATCAGCAGCCCCTGATCCCCTTGGTCTCACTGCACTGAAATGGTAATAGGGTTTACCGGTGCCAGAAGCCAACTTTTACTTTCTATGTCTTATTTAACCTTTACGACATAGTGAGGTACGTGTTACTATCCTCATTTTACAGTTGGGGATGCTGAGCACCTTGCCCAATGGATGCCAGAATGGCCAGGGCTTCCCTATTACATCCCTATTACAAAGTTCATAGCCTTTCTTCCTTATTGAAAGTAATATACCATTGGGGCGTTGGGGTGGCTCAGCTGGTGAAGCGTCTGCTTTTGGCTCAGGTCATGATCCCAGGGTCCTGGGATTGAGCCTTACCCCACGTCGGACTCCCTCTCCCTCTGCATCCCCCCTTGTGCATGCTCTCTCTCTCACTCTCCCTCTCTCTCAAATAAAATCTTTAAAAGAATAACATATCATTGCAGGAAACTTAACAAATGTAGATGAAGAGAAGAAAACAGAAACCACCCGTAACTCCACCACCCTAAGATTACATTTTGCTGTCTATTTCCCTAGATCAGGGGCCTGCAGGTTAGGGCCTTCCGGCCGCATCTGCCTGTTTTTGTAAAGAAAGGAAAGTCCTTAAAAACAAACTGAGCTACTTGCTGGTTGATGGGCTGAATTATGATAAAAGCACTGTTCCCATTTGCAAGATGATATTGACCGTCCAAAGTACTTTTCTAAGTCCAATCTTGTTTCAGCGATTCAGTCCTAGGAGGTCTTAGGAGAAAAGCTGCTCACACTTTGTGGCAGGCAGTGAGGTTCTCTCACGGGCCAGAAATCATTTGCTCATCTGTCTGTTCATTCATTCAGGCTCTCTGGGTAAGCCCAGTTGAATGGAGAAAGTCTTCGTTGGAAACACATATCCTCTTGTGGCATGGAAACACATCGTTCATTTCTCTTTTTGTTCCCCTGGCCCTGAACTCCGTGTTTTCCTTTGTGATGGGCAGAGCCTTTGGCAGCTCACGCTGGGGAGTAAGGGCAGACGGCAGGTTTGTAGGAGGCTTTCCCACGGGGATCTGTACTAGACACGAAGACTTTGTACAGCAGAAAATGCCCACATCCAACATTTCCCAGTGTGGTAGAAACAGCCCCAGGCCTGCTGACTTGCTCTGTCACCTCTTTGCCTGGCTGGGCCTCAGTTTGCCCATCTATAAAATGGAATTTCTCTTTCCTGACTATTTATTTGCTTCCAATTTTGCTGTCTTTTTCTCAGATGATAGATGGTGCCATGTCGGCAGTGTTCCTTATGATCAGTTAGTTCACCAAAGTTTTGGTCCCCTGAACCCGCTCATCCTTGCCCTCACAACAGCCACTGGACATACCTGTGCGTGGTTAACTGCTAGCCTAATTCTTAACAGATGGCTCTCAGCTTAATGCCTCATCGCCACCTTAAGAAAGTAGGCTGACGGGTGCTTGGGTGGCACAGTCAGTTGGGCATCCAACTCTTGGTTTTGGCTGGGGTTGTGATCTCAGGGTCATGAGATCAAGCCTGCATTGGGCTCCGTGCTCAGTGCAGAGTCTGCTTAAGACTCTCTGTCCTGCTGCCCCACCACGCACTTTCTCTCTCTCAAATAAATCTTGAAAAGAAATGAAAAAAGAGAAAGTGGACTGAATGTGCATGCCTGAGCCTCTTCCTGTCAGCATCCCACCGAACGACAGCAAAGAAATGTTTTTTTTAAAAAAGAGAGATGGAAACCCATCAAGCCTGGCAGAACAGTTGGGAAGATTAGCCACAGCATTTTAGAGGGCAGAAGCAGATGAACAGCAGTAACTGGCTTAGCAGAACTAAGAGAGCTGAGTCATAAGGCAGTAGTGAGGACAGCTGAGAACCTACTGGATCTGCGCTCTGAAAGGTGTGGGGACTGGCAGCATCAGGTACCTCTGCACTTGAGGGGGGGCAAGAGAGGGTACCAAAATGAGAAGAATTGGGTAAAAGATGCCCAGATCTTCTTGCCTGCTTTGTGTGGCCGGGGGTTGCCCACTTGCACCTCAGCAGAAAGCAGGTGGTTCATTCCCTGGAGAGGGAAAAACAGAGGGTCTTGGGACTGGGGACTGATGGGCCCAGTGGAGGCGTATGAGGTCTGTATCCTGAACGCAAGGATCAGGGTCTGTGTAGGTGCTGAATTCTGAAACCTGCCCTGCCCCCTCACCCCCAGACCTGTCCCACCACTTCCCTCACCACTCCTTCCCCAGCTCCTGGCCATTTGAGTATTGGACCATTGAAGGAAGAAGACTCTGGTGTACTTGGGGTTCCCTGGTACACAGCGGCCCCCACCACCCCCGATCCTGAGCATCGAGCTCAGCGTCCACCGGCCCCACCTCAGTACCTTCTGTCAGCCCTTTAGTTTTGCTCTTGGTCACGAGAAAGTGACTGAGGCTTGGTTACAGTTTCTAATATGGAAGGGGGGCCCCAAACAATCAAACAGAGGGACACAGGAGACTTGGAAGAAACAGAAACCATGCCAGGAGAAGAGAACTTGAAAAAGCTGCCATTAATACCCTCCTTCAAGCCAGGGAGGGTGTTGCACAGATAGGAACAGGATGCACAAAAAGGAAACTTTGTGAGCCAATAACAAGCCCTTGGGTATTAGAAACACAACGGCAGGTTAGGAGAGAAGGCTGAAGGAATCGCCCAGAAAGTGAAAGACAAGGGATAGGAAATAGGAGAGGGGAAAAACACAGAAACTTGCAGGCCAGTCTAAGAATTTCAACATCCAAATAGTAAGGCTTCTGGAAAGAATAGAGTAAAAAGGAGGCAGGGAAATCATTTGAATGAAATATTTGAAGACAAATCCCAGGATATGAGTTTCCACATTGAAGGAGCCTAAAGATTCACAGCCCCACTGGGTGGAAGGAGACACATACCTGAGCACATCCCTGGGAAACTGTAGACTATGGAAGACAGAGACAAGATCCTATAAGCTTCTGGATGTGAAAAAACAGGTCACCTATGAAGAATCAAGCTATCAGAACATCTCTGGTTCTAGCGTCCATGGAAGCTACGACACAATGGTGCAAGTCTTCCAAAACTCTGAAGGAGAAGGTTTTCCGTTATAGAATTCCATACACAGCCAAATGATAGGGTCAAACGTGAGATCAGAAGAAAGACAGTTTCAGAACTTGCAAGACTATGAATCATTAGTTCATCCCTACCCCTCATTCCCAAACACCTTTTCTTAGAAACCTACTGAAGGATGTCTTCCACTGAAGCAAGATAAGAAACCAAAGTAGAGCAACACATGGGAGACAGGAAACAGATCCAACGTAGAATCAAAGGGAATCTCCAAGGTGATAGCGATGAGGTAGCCCAGGGCATCCAGAAGCAGGATAGGCAGGTTGAGGATGCCGTTGTCATGTGCCGTCCCGTTGTACCATCTTTTCAACTAAATAGAACTACTGGAGGATGTGTCCCAACAAAACAAGGGAGTCCACCAAGAAAGAGGGAGCCATTTGATCCCCCAAATTAGGGATCAAACCCCGAGGAAAGGCAGAAGGAATCCTAAGGATGTCAGCGAAAGGAATTCTCAGAATGAGAGCTGTGTAGGGGGTCTGGAGAAGAGCCATTCAGGATGAGTGTAGAGAGTAGAGGCTTCCAGGAGGGATGTCGCCAATGAGGAATGATGGAGCTGATCAACTATGTTGTGTACTAGGAGGGTATGAGAAGGAGTGGATGGCATTAGCAGCAGGTGCAAGGAGAGCTACACAAATGAAAAAAACCACTGTCTCCAGGAAAAAAAAGAAGAAAGGAAAATCTGGTCTACCCCAGCCCTCATTTGTGAATAGTCCCAGACTCATGAAATCCCAAATACGGAATCTGTATTGAGAGGAACCTGCGTTGAGAGGTTGTGGGACGGGAAGCAGATGGGATGGCCAAGTAAGAGCACTCATTCTTCGTCTCTCAAGATCAAAGATCCGTAGATGGTGTCTCAAATGATGTCACACAAGAGGGTACACCTAATGGTGACATTGTTTAGAACTACGGAGAGGTGTAAATGCCAGAAAAGTGATTTTCTCTGTTGGGCAGTTCTGGAGGGGATGGGGCAAGGAACCACCATTTGGTTGTTTTACCTTTTTTAAAGATCTTATTTATTTAGAGAGAGCGCAGGAGCAGAGGGAGAGGGGGAGAGAGAAAATCTCAAGCGGACTCCCCATTGAGCATGGACACCTCCCGCCCTGACCCGGGGCTCGATCTCAACGACCCTAAGATCATGACCTGAGCTGAAATCAAGAGTCAGACATTTAACCGACTGAGCCACCCAGGCGCCCTGGTTGTTACACATTTTTTGGTTTTCAGTTATAAAAGTTTTGAGATGCGTATACAGAAAAATGCATGAAAGAGATCAATACTGTTTAATAAGTCTCAGGCATTGGACTGTGTGGACTTTCTCCCTGATTATAAACCCCTCTCCCCCATAGGCTTTTTTGTATTATATGAGTTTTTAAATTGGGAGCATAGCAAGGGGCGTCTGGGTGGCTCAGTCGTTAAGCGTCTGCCTTCGGCTCAGGTCATGATCCCAGGGTCCTGGGATCGAGCCCCGCATCGGGCTCCCTGCTCATCGGGAAGCCTGCTTCTCCCTCTACTGGTCCCTCTGCTTGTGTTCCCTCTCTCGCTGTGTCTCTCTCTGTCAAATAAATAAAACCTTTAAAAAAAAAATAAATAAATTGGGAGCATAGCAAGTAAAAATCAATTTAAGATTAAAGAGCTCAACATACAGCTTGGGTCTGGTCAGGGGATCGCTTCTGCTTCATTCCTGTACCAGCCTCTTGAGTCTCCTTGTGAAACGCTTCAAGGTCCCCAGTGAGGACTGCAAAGCAGAAGGGGTCTGATGGGCTCCCGCTTCTCTGTTGATGTTGATTTTGTAGGTGCTGGGCTCCTGACTCTCTCCCCGAGTGGACCAGGCTTCCTGGCTCATCGGGGTCTGTCCTTTCCCCTCTGCAGACCCAGCATGTCGGGACTCCACCTGGTAAAGAGGGGTCGAGAACTGAAGAAGCTGGACCTGCACAGAGACTTTACCGTGGCTTCCCCGGCTGAGTTTGTCACACGCTTTGGGGGGAATCGGGTCATCGAGAAGGTACAGATGGGGTCCCAGCAGTCGGGGTGGGGTGGGAACCCTCTTCCCAGCTGGAAGTGAGAGAACCTGCTTCAGGTTCATGGTCATGCTGCAGAGAAAGGGCCAGGCCACCCTTCTGTGAGCACTTGCCAAGTGCTACGTGCTGGAATTCATCACCTTTCACCCTCCTGACAGCCAGAAGCAATAGGTGCATGACCCCCCCCATTTCACGGAAGAGGAGATTGAGGTTTGTAGAGACCCCAAGGTGCCTTCGTGCAAGGGATTGCTTTCTAGGTTATTGAGGGCAGGCATAAAACCCAGCTCTGCCCTTCTGAGGGGAAAGCTGCAACTGTGGGATTAGAACAGCAAGCCAGCCTGCAGTGGCTTTCTCCCCTGGGGGCTCCCAGAATGTGCTAGAACAAATGGGGCCCAGGGAAACTGGCTGTCCTGGGGTCACCCAAAGCCCTTCCTTCTTGACCAAGCCTTGCTTTGGTAATAAGATTAAGAAAACCAAAGCCCTGCTGTCCCGTCATTGCTGTTCAGGGGGCATTTCTGAAAGGAGAGAACACCGAATCTGAGCCCAGGGCTCTGGGCTCCATCTGCTATGGCCACTCACAGGATATGTCACCTGGGCTCAGTTTCCCCTTCTGTAAAATAGAGGCAGTCACATTCTCATTCTCTAGTGAGACTTGTCCTTCAGGGCTGTCATGAAAATTAGTCAGCAATGGAAGGGCCTTAAAATTATGTTCTTGCTATATAAGTCAGAGCTTTGAAGCCATATGCCCCCCCCCTTTTTTTTTAACAGGAACACTAGAGCTTGGTTTTATTTCTTATAGATCGAGCCAGGATGTTGGCCAGTCTGAGATCCTTATGTGGAGATGAAGCTCAGAGAGGGAAGGGGTCTGCCTAATGCCACACAGGACGTTCATGGCACATTAAGAATTGAAACCGGACCTTTTCTGTTGCTCTCAGTTGCTGAGGACAGCCAACATTACTGCCTTTCCTCTCCACCGAGTCCGGGGCCTTTAATCTCCAGAATACAGAGGCAGCCACGGGGTTGGGGGCAGTTCAGAGCACAGATCTGACTGTGCAGGGCTCAGGAGTCACATCTCTGCCACTTACTAGCTGTGTGACCTGGGGCAAGTGCCTGAACTCCTTGAGTTTTAATATCTTTAACCGCTAATAAAGATAAGAATACAGTCACTTTCAAGGGTTGAAGTAAGGGTGAAGTGAAGTAATGCTGGTGAGATATATTGTACTGTAGCTTGGTATATACTAGGCATTCAAAAATGTTAAGTGCCAACAAAGGAATCAAAATCATTCATTCATCCCATCTTGTCCATCCTATCCATCCATCTGTCCATCCAGCCAGCCATCCTCTCGTCCATTCATCCATCCTCCAACCATCCATCCTTCTATCTATCCATCCATCCACCCATCCATTAATCCATCCTTCTGTCCATCCATCCATCCACCCATCTGTCCTTCTGTCCATCCATCCACCCACCCATCTGTCCATCCATCCATCCATCCACCCACCCACTCACCCATCTGTCCATCCATCTACCCATCCATCCACTTGATCCTCCACCTGACCATTCATCCATCCATCTACCCACCCATCCATCCACCCATCCACCCACCCATCTGTCCATCCATCCATCCACCCACCCACCCACCCACTCACCCATCTGTCCATCCATCTACCCATCCATCCACTTGATCCTCTGCCTGACCATTCATCCATCCATCTACCCACCCATCCATCCACCCATCTTTCCATCCATCTAACCATCCATCCATCCACCGACCCACCCACCCCTCCAACCATCCATTTGATCCTCCGCCTGACCATTCATCCATCCATCTAACCACCCATCCATCTACCCACTCACCCATTCACCCATCCACCCACTCACCCACCCATCTGTCCATCCATCCGTCCATCCATCCATCCATTCATTCATCCACCCACCCACCCACCCCTCCAACCATCCATCGATCCTCCGCCTGACCATTCATCCATCCATCTAACCACCCGTTCATCTACCCACCCATCCATCCACCCATCCGTCCATCCATCCATCCATCCATCCATCCATCCATCCATCCATCCACCCACCCCTCCAACCATCCATTCGATCCTCCACCTGACCATTCATCCATCCATCCATCCATCCATCCATCCATCCATCCATCCATCCATCCACTCACCCATTTGATCATCATCTATTCATGCAGCCAGCAGATTTTGAGCACCTCTCTGCCAGGCTGTGTGCTGTAAAAATGCAAAGAGGTACCTGAGGAGGCTCTGCAGCTGTGACATGGACCCCAGGGTAGCATGCAGCTCCCAGCACAGGTAGGTGTGCAGCTCTGGCCCCTTCCTCATTTTCCCCGTCCAGGTGCTCATCGCCAACAATGGCATCGCCGCCGTGAAGTGCATGCGCTCCATCCGCAGGTGGGCCTATGAGATGTTCCGCAACGAGCGGGCCATCCGGTTTGTAGTCATGGTGACCCCAGAGGACCTGAAGGCCAATGCAGGTACCTGGGCCTTGACTCCTTCCCCTTCTGCCACTCCCTGTCCTTACCTGCCCTCACCTCTTCCATTATACCCAGGCAAGTCCACCCTGGACCCCAGAGTCCCAGGGTACCCCTCCTGAGCCCACATTTACTTGCCTTTCCTTCTTTAATTAAAAATGCAAATGGTTACTATACATAGTGGAAATCCCGTCTCTGAGAAATGTCCATGTTTACAGCAGACGGGCCTCTCCTCGTCCAGGTGTTTCCTCTGCAGATGTCTGTATTGTACTTCAGTCATGCATTCTTCTGTTCATTTGTTTTCTATGTCTATTCACATAGGTCATTCTATAAATAACTGTTGGACAATTTGCTTTTTTCCCCTGAACAATCGTATCCCCTTACAGACCTCTATCCACACAGTAGCCAAAGAGATTTCTTAAAAACACAGCTCAGGTCCCGTCAACAGCTCTGTAAATGCTTAAGAGGCTGCCGTGCTGTCCCTGGGCTCAGCCCTGCACAGATGCAGCCTCCTTCTAACTCAGAGGACAGATTTGATTGTCAACCCTATTTTACAGATGATGCAGTTGAGGCACAGGGACAGAAATCATTCACCCAGGGTCATACAGCCAGTATGTGGCTCAGGCAGGATTGGAACCCACGTGCAGGGGCTCCCATCACGCTCAGACCAAAATTCCAGGTGCTCACTCAGGCCAGTTAAGGTGCCACATGATGTGGCTCTGCCGGCCTCTTGGCCCCAACCAGGCCCGTGCCCTCCAACCCTGCGTCCGAGCCACGCTGGCCTTGTCGCTTCCTGGGCCAGCTGAGCTCTTTCCTGTCCCAGAACCTTGGAACATGCCGGATCTTCTGCTGACAGTGCTTTTCCCCGAAGCTCCTGGCACAGCAGGCCTCCACCCCTCCCTGCCCCAACCTCCTGGTCGCGTCCTCCCCTGTGGCTTTCCCAGAGGGCCCTGGCGCTGACCCCAGCTTGGTGTTACTCTGTCTATTTTCTTGTTTATCTTTTCTGACAGTAGAGAAAAACTCAGGGACGAGATGGAGCTTGTCTGACTTCTCACTCTGTCGCCTCCGGGACCTCCCCTGCGGCCGATACTCTTGTGTTCCATAAACATGGGAGGCAGGCAGCCTGGAAGGAAATGCCACTCTCGGTTCTCTTTCAGGACCTGCACATAAAGTTCCACACTGTTTCTTCTCAGGATCCCAGAGAATTCCATAGTACAGAGAGACTAAGCCTTGCCTTTGGCTCGAGCCTAGCATTTCACACTTCAAAACACTGCCCGGTGGACATCCCCTTCACGTCACTCTCCGGCTTCACTGATGATTAGGGTTTTTTAGGACGTATTTATTCCTAGAAGTGGAATTTCTGGCCTAAAGGCCATGAGTATTTTAAGATCAGAACATTGTATTGTATCCAGCCTTAAGAAGGAAGGAAATCGTATCACATGGTACAGCGTGGAAGGACCTGGAAGACACTATTCTAAGTGCAAGAGACCAGTCACAAAAAGACAAATCCTCTAGGATCCCCCATAGATGAGGTCCCCAGAGTCATGACATTTATAGACACAGAAGGATGATGGTGGCTGGGCGCTGCAGGAGGGGACAAAGGGAGGTGTTGTCTCATGGGTAGAGTTTCAGATTTGCCAGAAGACAAAAGTTCTAGAGATCTGGTTCACAATAGTGTGAATGTGCTAAATGCTATTGAACTGTACCCTGGAAAAATGAGTTAGATGGTAAATTTTATGTTACCTGTTTTTCACCATGATTAAAAACATTGTAGGGGCGCCTGGGTGGCGTCTGCCTTTGGCTCAGGTCATGATCCTGGGGTCCTGGGATCAAGCCCCGCGTCGGGCTCCCTGCTCGGCGGGAAGCCTGCTTCTCCCTCTCCCACTCCCCCTGCTTTGTGTTCCCTCTCTCGCTGTCTTTCTCTGTCAAATAAAAAAAGTCTTAAAAAAAACCCAAAAAACAAAAAACATTGTATTGTTTAATGTCAAAACAATATTAAGATAAACTGGAAATAGGGATTGATTGAACACCCCTCCTCTCGTCCCAACCATTCTGATAGCTTGCTTCCTTCTTCTTTGTTCCCTTCCAGCCCTGTCCTGATGCCTCTATATTTTTCCATAGTGGAAGTCATGGGCAGTTGGCTTCACATGATCATCCACACCTTTCCCTTGCGGCCACAGAAACTTGTCAGTTTCTGGACATCCTCCTAACGTCACTCTTCGGCTTCATTGATGACTAGGGTTTTTTTAGGACGTATTTATTCCTCGAAGTGGAATTTCTGGCCTTCCTTTCGGTAGCTGTAGGTAGTCATGCCGTGAACTTCAGCCTCTCAGTTTTTCTTTCCTTTTCTCATCTAATTCCAGAGTATATCAAGATGGCAGATCAGTATGTCCCTGTCCCGGGAGGGCCCAACAACAACAATTATGCCAACGTGGAGCTGGTTGTGGACATTGCCAAGAGAATCCCCGTGCAGGTAAGTCGGATGGGGTGCCCAGTCTGCCCACTGGGGGAATGATGCTCTGAGCTGTGGAGCAACTCACTCCTGCAGTTTGGAAGGGTCAGGGGCTCCAGGTCCTGCAAGACTCTCAAATCCAGGGCTGATGCGATGCCGCAAAGAGCTTTCGGTGTGTGACGGGAGGGGGATTCTCGAAGGAACTTTGTCATTCCCACCTCTCTATGTTTACAGGCGGTGTGGGCTGGCTGGGGCCATGCTTCCGAAAACCCCAAACTGCCGGAGCTCCTGTGCAAGCATGAGATTGCTTTCTTAGGTAAGTGAGTGTTGCCGTCTGATACGGGGGAATCGGGGCCTTGACGGGACACTCTGTCAGGTCACGTTCTCTTTCCAGTGTAGCCCTGCAAGGTGGGGGTCAGTTTGATAGCCCCACCTCTCACCCTTTCATGGTCAGGAGCAAGCCGGTCCGGGGTGGGAGGGGCGGTTGGCCAGCCCAGGGACATAGGAACTGTTGCCATGGGTCCCACGGGAGAAGGATGAGGGACAAGCAGAACCCTCTGCTCGTGCTCGTGCTGGCACTGAGATACCAGCCACGTTCAGATTTCTGACTGGGTTTGGAGGTCCCATTTCTGATAAGCCCACGCCTTTCTTGGGCTGTTCTCCGGGCTTTGGAATGCCGTAGCATTTTGGGACCAGAGTCCCTCAGCTCCATGACTTAGGAGGTAAAAATGATACTTATTGTCTATGGGGTCTGTTTTAGGGTTTGCATTTGTAAACTTGGTGTGCTCTCATGCTGTCTGACATCTTTGCATGAGGTAGGGGAATCATTTACCAACCACAATAAATCCCTGTTGCTTTTCCTTCGTGCTGGGCCTCCAACACACACCGTGTTTGAAGCAACTCAGTACAGATCAACACCTGATATCCCAAGGGTCTGCCTAGTAACTTGTGCTTGCTTATATTTTCTCTCTCCATAGTCTTTGACTGGCTGTGCACGAGACGCTCATTATCCCTTAGCTCCTCTGGAGCTTGGTGATCCAGCCCGCAAGCCATCAAACTACAGCCCACAGGCCAAGTCCAGCCTGCTGCCTGCTTTTGTAAATGAAGTTTTACTGAAACAGCAGCGCGGCTCATTCATTTATGTATCACCTATGGCTGCTTTGGCCCAACACTGGCAAAGCTGAATATTTGTGACAGAGACAAGCAGACCCACAGAGCGGAAAATACTTCCTATCTGGCTCATTATAGGAGAAGTTTGCTAACCCAGGGTCTAGTTTTTTGAGGTACTAGCTTGCCACCTTTGGTATGGCTTGTTGCCTTCTTCCTGAAAAGCGAATTCTGTGTATGCCACATCGCTTAGGTTATAACTCAGACCAGGTCTACAATCCACATGTACTAAAAACAGCAGACTTCAACCACATCTGTTGAAGTAGCGGACTAACAGATTTTTCCCTTCCCCGACTTGATGTTAAATTCCTCTGAGTACTTTTCTTTGTGCATTTGGCAGGCACTTGGCCATGAGGGGCTTGTGACTAACTCGATTCTGCCTTCCCCCTTTGTCCCTGATCCCTCAGGCCCTCCCAGTGAGGCCATGTGGGCCTTGGGAGATAAGATCGCCTCCACCATTGTGGCCCAGACGCTGCAGATCCCAACACTGCCCTGGAGTGGAAGTGGTAAGTGGCCTGAGCTTCACTTTGGGGGATCTCTTCCACCAATATGAGCAGAGGGGGTGACAGGAGTATTCTTTTTTTATTCTTTCATTTAAAATTTTTTAAAATTATTAAAGCAGTGGTACAGTTTCATTGTAGACAGCTTAGAAAATATAGAATTACCAAAAAGAAAAGAAGAAGAAAAGAAAAGAAATAGAAATCATCCGTAATCCTATGACCTGGTATTGAATATAACATTTGTTATATTCTAGGTGCCTACCTGTCCAGCGTTTTTTTTTTTTTTCTACGCACATCCTTTAAAAAGCCAGAGATCTTATATTTGCTATAGTTTGTGACTTATTTTTTCTTACTAACCCTTCCATGTCAATAAATACACTTTATGACATTTAAAATATCTGCATAGGATTTTATCATATACATGTACCATAATTTACTTAACTAGTCCTCTAATGTTAGATGTTTAGGTTGTTTCCAGGTTGTTTTTTGCTCTAATTTTAAAAAAATACTAAAAGTAGGGGCACCTGGGTGGCTCAGTCGATTAAGTGTCTAACTTCTGGCTTGGTTCATGATCTCAGGGTCCTAGGATTGAGCCCCTCCTTGGGCTCTGTGCTCAGCTGGGAGTCCGCTTCTCCATCTCCCTATGCCCCTCCCCCCACTCTTGCTCTCTCTCTGGCTCTCTCTCACATAAATAAATAAAATCTTTAAAAAAAGATACTAAAAGTAATGGAGTCTTGATAGTCTACTAGCTAAATCTCAATGTACTTTTTAATCATTTCCTTAGGATAAATTCTGAAAAGTAGAATTTCTAGGATAAAATAAAAATGAACAGGAAAAAGTCTCAGGAGTTTCCTCTCCAATTTGATTTTTTTCATCCAAAGATGGAATTTTAAATTCGGAATGGGAAGTTTTATTTGTTTTTAATCTTCACAGGGTTTTAGAAAATAGTGATTTACATATAAATGACTCCAGTAGGTAGAATTGGAATTTTTTTGAATTCAGGTTAATATGGTTGTTCGTGATAGGCTCAGTCTGAATTTCTTTCCTTTTTTTTTTTTTTTGTTTAAAGATTTTATTTATTTATTTCACAGAGAGAGAGAGCAAGAGCAGGAACACAAGCAGGGGGAGTGGGAGAGGGAGAAGCAGGTTTCCCGCTGAGCAGGGAGCCCGATTCAGGGCTCAATCCCAGGATCCTGGGATCATGACCTGAGCCGAAGGCAGACGCTTAATAACTGAGCCACCCAGGTGCCCCTCAGTCTGAATTTCTTAAGCTTGATTTCCCATTCAAGGTTGAGTCAGCCCTTACGAAAATTAAAAGCCATTGTGGGAAGCTGAAGGACCATGTCTATATACTATTGGTCCAGCGCCCAGGTCTAGAGAAGCTTTGGTGAGGAAAGGCCCTGTGGTTTCTGTGTTGTGTTTCTCTGCCATCCTTAGGAGGATTCAGCTTTTTTTGTGACTCTCTAGGTCTGATGGTGGAATGGACAGAAGATGATCTGCAGCAGGGGAAAAGAATCACTGTCCCAGAAGATGTTTACAACCAGGGTTGTGTGAAAGATATAGATGAGGGCTTAGAGGTAAATGCAGGGCTTGGGAGGCCAAGGTGCTGGAACCTTCTCATTGTCCTTTTAGCTTGGAAACTGTATACCTTCTAAAGAGGTCTGTTTGTCCTTCACCCCCAGGTGGCAGAAAAAATTGGTTTTCCCTTGATGATCAAAGCATCAGAAGGTGGTGGAGGGAAAGGAATCCGGAAGGCAGAGAGTGCCGAGGACTTCCCGATCCTTTTCAGACAAGTGAGCTCTTCTTGCTGAGCAGTTTTCCATATATCTGTGGGAATTGCATGTATTTAGCTGTTGGCCACCAGATTATTTTCATTAGCATTACTGTGTCAGAAGTCAACAGGACACTCATGGGAGCTGGAATATTGCTGTGCTGTGTTCCGAAGCACACGTGTACGTTTTCACACACAGAAGTCCCTGGTTTGGGTTGATCCATACACCATGTCCTTAGATGTTCAATCCTGTGAATCCACGTGACTTTAAATGATTTCAGAGATACAGGGCCAGAGTATCTACCTGTTTGTGACTGTATCCACGTCTATTGGAAGATGGGACATTTTGTAAATTTTAGTAGTCTTGGTATTTTAACCTTTCTAGATGATTGGCTTTTGTTGTGGGAATGAACCATGTATTTACTTATTTGTAGCTGGGTTTTCACTTTTAAAACTTTATGCCTGTTACAGTTGCCGGTTGGCAATGTTTGAAAAAGGGTAGGCTAACGATCTTCCCATTCTTAATGCAACTATTTTATAATTTCTAGGGTTTCTTCTAGATCTTGTTCACGTGCATGTTTTAAAGAGTTGTATTCGTTCTACATAGTGTTTTGTTCGACATTTAAAAAAATTCTGAATTGTAGATCACGGACATGTTTTCCATGTCATTCCAATCTTTACAATTATTTTGATGATTGCATAATATTCCTGGTGTGTCTGTAGTTTTCCTTATCAAGCCTTTCCTTTTTTGTGAAATGTGGGGCTTATTTCCATTTCTGTTGTTATGGCTATAATACAATATATTTCATAATAATATATAATATCTGTAATATATATTATAGAACATGGAACATAAATAATACTTAGCTTTTTTTTTCTTCTTCTGAATTATTTTCTTGGGTAAAGACTACGTGCCAAGGACTTAGTTAAATAGCATGCACATGCACTTACAAAAACATGTCAATAAATTGCTTTCTAAAAAGGTTTACCAATTAAACCGTTCTGGGCAATATATGAGTGTTCTATAAAGTAGTGGTTTCACTATCACCTGTCTCCACTGGGGTGGATAGGTTTTTGGGGTACTTTGCAGGGGAAGACGTTCTGTTTACTTGAAAGTCGCATAAGTAGTATGGAGTCCCTCTCTACCCTTGGTTTCCCATTGTTAACATCTTCTGTTAGCTCTGCCATATTTGTCACAACTAACAGATTAACAGGGATACATTTCTATTAAGTCAACTCCAGACCTGACTCAGATCTCACCACTAATCTCTTCTTTCTGTGTCAGGATCCAGTCCTGGATCCTCCATTACATTTAGGGGTTGTGTAGGTTTAAAAGCTTTTTTTTTTCCCCTTTCTTTAAAATTACTTTTTAGGGCAGTTTTCAATTCACAGCAAAATGGAGTGGAAAGTACAGCGGTCCCATATACCCACTGCCCCTACCCACGCACGAGCAGGTTTCTTTTGATTACGAGGGTGCAATTTGAAAATGTTCTTATGGGAACATTCAAATGCTTTAGGGATATGTTAAGCATAAAAAAGGAAAATTCTCTTTTTACCACCACCTCTGAACTTCTTCCCCTTCCCAGATGTAACCAATTTTTTTTAAGAATTTTTAATTAAAAAAATTTTTAAAGTAATCTCTATACCCAACGTGGGGCTTGAACTTAACAACCTTGAGATCGAGAGTCGCATGTTCTACTGACTGAGCCAACCAGGCACCTCTGTATATACTTTTATATAGATGTTCATAACAGCTCTGTTTTACTATTTTTCATATAAGCGGGGCCATCCCATGTATTACTGCAGCTTGCTTTTTAAAAAAAAATTATTAGAAATCATTTCATGTGAACACTTTTTTTTTTATATCATTAAGAATTTCTGGACAATTGCCTTTTAGTCATCAAAAGAACAATGTAAGTCTGTCTGTAGGTTCCACCATGGACAACTGGCCAAGAGAGTACTATTTAAGGAGGAGGAAAAGAAGACTGCTGGGTGGCACGTTTTCATCCTATTTTTATTCAAAGAACATTCTGTGTGTTTTGTGTGTTCCTAAAGGTGCAGCAGAAAACCAGTGTGTACCCAGCTCCTATCAGCACATTAACTTAACCAGTTAACTCTTAACCACACTGAACTCTTACCCAGTATGTGCCCAAATCCTAACAGCACATTATCTTTAGAAAAATGGGATTGTGGGGAAATTCTGCCTTCTACATGATGTATTTTGACAGTGTTGGACTTAAAACGTCAAGGAGAAAGGCATGTTCGCACGGGAGAGGTAAAACAAAGCTGAACGATCAGCAGGATCGTGGACATATCTTCAGAGGACTTCTCGCTCCGGCCCTGGTCCCCCAGGGTAAATCGAACCACTCTGCTGTCCCCCCAGGTGCAGAGTGAGATCCCTGGCTCCCCCGTTTTCCTCATGAAGCTGGCCGAGCACGCCCGACACCTGGAGGTCCAGATCCTCGCCGACCAGTACGGGAATGCCGTGTCCCTGTTCGGGCGTGACTGCTCCATCCAGCGGCGGCATCAGAAGATCATCGAGGAGGCGCCGGCCACCATCGCCATACCAGCTGTGTTCGAGTTCATGGAGCAGGTGGGCTCTGCAGAGCCGGAGAGCCGGCTCCACCCAGCCAGCAGGAGCGCCCTACCGTCCGTCCCCATTGCCAGTGCGGGGGTGGATGTCCACGAAGACACCCTGGGCCCATCATAGGGAGTGCGATCTCTGAGGTCCCGAAGGATGCCCAGCAGATCCTCAGCGTTTGGTGGGGGACCTACTCAGCCCCCCATGAAGATGATTCAAGAAAACCACTGGAGACCCTTCAGGCTCTGTGTCTTTGCAGTGTGCCGTCCACCTGGCCAAGACTGTGGGCTACGTGAGCGCGGGGACGGTGGAATATCTCTACAGCCAGGATGGCAGCTTCTACTTCTTGGAGCTAAATCCCCGCCTGCAGGTGGAGCACCCCTGCACAGAGATGGTCGCCGATGTCAACCTGCCAGCCGCCCAGCTACAGGCAAGGACCTGGGCGCAGAGCCCTGGGGTTTCTTCTAGCTGGGCCGGGCTCCTGCTCCCCTCTTGGAGGGCTGTCCCTAGGGAAGTGAGTGTGTTGTGTGAGTAGCATCGAGAACCATGCAGGCGGAGAACCTTCTGTGGAGTGGTTCGTCACCTTTGCCTGGCTGTGTGGCCCTTTGAGAAACGGGCAAAAACCTGTTGGATTTCTCCCCTGGGGAAAAAAAAAAATATGCTTTGTACAGTTCCAGGGCATTCGTGGACCCCCTCTTCTCCATTCACAGAGCCAGAGAAATATTTCTCAACCTTTTTTTGTTACTGTCCCCGTAAGGAACCTTTCTAGACACTTCCCCCCTAATTTCTCCCCTTATAAAATTTTATTTATTTTTTATTTATTTTAAAGTTTTGTTTATTTATTTGACAGAGCAGGAGAAAGAGTGAGAGAGAGCACAGGCAGGGGGAGCAGCAGAGGGAGAGGGAAAAGCAGGCTCCCCGCCGAGCAGGGAGCCCGATGCGGGGCTCGATCCCAGGACCCTGGGATCATGACCTGAGCCGAAGGCAGGCGCCCAACCAACTGAGCCACCCAGGCGCTCCAGCCCCTTATAAAATTTTAATATCACAGATATACTGTATGTTTTTATTGTAGATATATCTGTGACTGATATGTACAGAGTAAGATCATTTCATCCCCAAGAGCAAATATTTGCCCCCTTGAGGGGCAGTATCGCCCTCATTGAGAACTCATGACCCAGAGTTAGGAACTCCTGCACGAATGGGAACTCAAATGTTAAAAATGTATGAATGTATGTCTCCCTCCTTCCTTTCCTGCCTGCCTTCCTCCCTCCGTCAGCATTTTTACTGTTTTCTATTTTGTCTTTTTTTTTTTTTAGTTAGGAAAATTTCAGGAATGTTAGAAGGATCGTGCAGTTACCCCCCATCCCCTGTGCCTCGACCCACTGGTTGTTAACCTCTGCTGCATTTGTGTTCTTTCTATTCGTGTTTCAGTGTATTTTTTTTGGCTTAACTTTTTGAGAGATGTTTTGACTTGAACCTTCATGGTGCTTTGCCTCTACTTGAGTAAAAGGACCTCCTAAGAACAACAACATTCTTTTAAGAGAGAGAGAGAGAGAGAAAGAAAAAGAAGGAAGGGAGGAAGGAAGGAAGGAAGAAAGAAAAGAAAGAAAGAAAGAAAGAAAGAAAAAGAAAGAAAAGAAAGAAAACAAGATCATTCTGGCACAATACCACAATATAAAATGATGACACTTGGGAAATAAACCACGTGCCACTGCATGTCTATCTAAAATTAAAAGTATAAAATTAAAAAAAAATTTTTTACATTTCTTATTTTGTTTAAAGATTTTATTCATTTCTTTGAGAGAGAGAGTGCACGAGCAGGGAAGAAGGGCAGAGGGAGAGGGAGAAGCAGACTCCCCACTGAGCACGGAGCCCGATGCGGGGCTCGATCCCAGGACCCTGGGATCATGACCTGAGCTGAAGGCAGATGCTTCACCGACTGAGCCACCCGGGCGCCCCCTCTGTCTTTCTCTTGCTTTGCTTCTCCTGCCACCGTGTGGCACAGTGTCATGTGCTCAGCAGGTGCTCGGGATACCTTAGATCATTCACTGCACCCCTTCCTCCAGGGCGTCTAGCAGTGCGCTCAGTGTCTGGGGGCCAGGGTGCTCGTGGGGACTGACAGTCCGCGGGGTGGATTTCTTCATTTCAGATTGCCATGGGGGTGCCGCTGCACCGGCTCAAGGATATCAGGCTTCTCTACGGAGAGTCGCCGTGGGGGGTGACGCCCATTTCGTTTGACACTCCTGCCAACCCTCCGCTCGCCCGAGGCCATGTCATCGCGGCCAGAATCACCAGTGAGAACCCCGATGAGGCAAGTTTTGGGGGGCCCTCACACCTGCCATCCCCAGGCTCCCAGTGTGGGGCAGAGCCTGAATGTTAGCTTTGGATGAGACGCCCAGGCTTCTCGGAGTACAGACAGGGAAACCGTGGCGTGGGAAGGCAGTGGTTTATTGATGGGAAGTGTGTGCCAGGCACCAGGGCAGATCCTTCGTGCCTCTCGTTGCTCATGGACAGGACAGCTCGAGAGGTTAGGGTCCTGCTTCATGCCTGCGACCTGCTGAGGCCGTGACCAAGCCCCACGGTTTGACCCTATGGGCCACGTCCATCTTTGGGACAAGCAGCCAGCTTTAGAACCCGAGTTCTTGGTTTTCTGCTGCCCCCCTCCCCGTACTCTTTCCTGGAGTCTGGTCCCTTGTAAGGAGTTCCTTTGTGACTTGCTCTTCTTTGTGCCTCGAGAAACCAGCCAGCTGGTATCTGCTTACTTATGGATGACTGTCACATCATCTCCATAACCTACCACAACCTCATTGTTCAATGATTACATTTAAGAAACTTGGGATAAGACAGGTTTGTCTCCCCCTCCTCCCCTTTTAATTAAAGAATTAGATGACGAACCATTAGAGACGATGGACTCTGAAAAACAAACTGAGGGTTCTAGAGGGGAGGGGGGGTGGGGGGATGGGTTAGCCTGGTGATGGGTATTAAAGAGGGCACATTCTGCGTGGAGCACTGGGTGTTATGCACAAACAATGAATCATGGAACACTGCATCAAAAACTAATGATGTAATGTATGGTGGTTAACATAACAATAAAAAAAATTATTAAAAAAAAAAAGAATTAGAAGCTATGGTAGCTCTATCAGCTTGGCATCTTTGGCTGCAAACAATGGACTCTGGTGGTGGACAAGCGAAATGGGAATTTTTTAGGGGGATGTTGGCTTGTGTACAGGTGCTGGGGAGGACGAAGGGACTCGAAGTGGAAATAGCTCGGGCACCTGAAATTCTCCATCTCTCAAAACGGATGCCTCGACTACACACGTCAAGAGCCCTAATCCCAGCGAGAGGGTCCGCGTCCACCCCCCACCCCTTACCAAAATTATACTCAGGGGGATGGACCTTCTGCCCCATCCTCGCCCCCCATAAGCAAATTAGGCGTCTGTTCGCATCACATTTCTTTATCTGCTGGCTTTTTCATAATCCCAGAATTCGAAATCCAACCCCTCTTCTCTTTCATTTAAACTTTTTGTGACTGACAATGTCAAGTTTATGAAACCGGAATGAGCTTGCACTCAGTTCCGTCAGTGAACGGCATTCCCCCCTATTGTTTCTGTACCTCCTCCCCCCATCCCAACATGGTTATTTTATTTTTATATATTTTTTTAAAGTAAAAATTACATGCATGCATGGACGTCTTGACACGGGTTCACCCTCACCCCTGGTGAGAGAGATCAACGTTCTATTGATCACACTAAGCTTTGGGTTACGGTGGGGGTTCTTCTTGGGTTTGTCTAGGATTTAATTCTGATGCAAATATATCTGGTGTGATGATTCCCTGACCCCGCAACTTTTGCTTTTGCTGTTCTGGCTCTAGGGTTTTAAGCCAAGCTCTGGAACGGTTCAGGAACTGAATTTCCGGAGCAACAAGAACGTGTGGGGTTATTTCAGCGTGGCGGCTGCTGGTGGCTTACACGAATTTGCTGATTCCCAGTTCGGGCACTGCTTCTCCTGGGGGGAGAACCGGGAAGAGGCCATTTCGTTAGTATCTCCCTGCTCCCCGCCTTCTTTCCCTCCTTCCTTCCAGAAGCTAAAAGCCTGGGGCTCAGATGCAGCAGTACTTCAGGAGGTAGAGGAGTGAATCACAGAGCAGACCCTGTCTTAAATGCCCTTTGCTGAAGTCCAAGGGCGAAGTCTGTCCTTTTCCTGTATCTGAGATCCATGAAGTCAAGGGAGCTCATGAGCTCACCACGGTCATTTGGTCTTGAGCTTATTACAGGTCGCACTTGGGGGAGATCCAAAGAACGTTCGAGGGGATTCCACAATTTAAAAGGTGCCAAGTACTAGAGCTTTTTTAGAAAAAGGTGTGTGAGGGGACTTCTTTAAATTTAAACCGTGTAAGTAGGTCCTGGAGAAACCCATGTTGACAAAGGGGTTCCCAAATCCCAACACACCCACATCTTCCATTTTTCCTGCTTTGCCCGGAGAGCAAAGGGTTAGGGTGAAAACCAGCTCACTTTATAATTAAACATTCTTGTGTTTAAACATTCTCATGTTTAGAGTGAAAAATCCCAAAGACTTTGTGGACATTTTGTTTAAAAAGCGTTATAATCGGGGCGCCTGGCTGGCTCAGTGGGTAGAACATGCAACTCTTGATCTCAGAATTGTAAGTTCAAGCCCCACATTGGGTGTAGAGCTTACTTTAAAATGAAATCTTTAGCGGGGGGGGCGGTGCCTGGCTGGCTCAGCTGGTTAAGCATCTGGCTTGATTTTGGCTCAGGTCATGATCTCAGGGTTGTGAGATCAAGCCCTGCATGGGGTTCCTTGCTGAGCATGGAGCCTGCTTAGGATTTTCTCTCCTCTGACCCCCTCACTCTCTCTCTTTCTCTGTAAAAAAAATTTTAATTTAAAAATTTAAAACATAATTAAAAGCATCAAAATCTAGCCACTAGGGCACTTAGTCATGAATTAAATTGAGTTGGGTGATTTTGATGAGTGGGCTTTCTTTCCCAGCTTTATGTAATTAGTTTTAATCATGCTGAGTGAAAACTTGAAAGGAGAGGGAGACCAGCCATTCCAGCCCACTCTGATCTCTGATGGAAGTGGCCTGTGGCTCGTCCTATGCTGGGAATGCCGAGTATGGACCTTAAAAGAATTCAGAGGGAAAAATTCTGGCTTTTTTTTTTTTTGAGAGCACAAGTGGGGAGGGGCAGAGGGAGAGAGGAAGAGAGAACCTTAAGCAGGCTCCCCACTGAGCACAGAGCCTAACGCAGGGGATCTCATGGCCGTGAGATCATGACCTGAGCAGAAATCTTGTCGGCCACTTAACCGACTGAGCCACCCAGGTGCCGCTCATAGGGTCTAATAGGGGGATCAGCTGTGCCCGCTTCCCTGGGACTGAGGGTGTCCTAGGATTTGGGATTTTTCTCACTGCTAAAACTGGGCACGTCCTGAGCAAATTGGAACAAGTTGGTCACCCTTGAGCCCAATAGCTTGATGCTTACATGCAGACTCCGGTCCCACACCTGACTTTCCCGAGACTACTGACGTGCTCATCTGACCTCACTGCATTTTTATTTCCCTGGCCCCGAACTGGGGTTGTTCTTGCCCCTTTGCCACACCTGCTGAATGCATGCAGGAACGTCATGACAGGTGTAAAAGCTCTCCTCTCCCAGGTAGGGAATGGTTCTAATGCCTCTTTCTCTGGTACAAAACACTCTCCCTGTTATTTCCTAGGAAGTGGGGGCTTCAGCCCTTTGGACTGAAGCCCTCTTTGGGGAGAGGCCACCCCTCTGGGAAATAGGAGGTGGTGACCAACCAAGCACATGCGGACAGGTGACCGCCACACCCTGGGTGGGGTAACAGTGTTGGCCTTCCGTAGATGCACCTCGTGCATACCCCGCAGAGCAGCTATGTGGCCAGCCAAGGGGTGGCACCTGCTCTGGGATATGGGGATTTGAGTAGGTCCAGCTGCAGAGAGGCAGAGCGACCGGCAGTGGTTAATAATAATTAACAGGGTGGTTAAGTCACTTGCCCAAGATTGCCTGACCAGCAAATGCTGGAGCCGAGATTGACAGATGGGCTGCTGGACTCAGGCCCCTCTCGGTTGTGCTGTTCTGGGCTGAGAACGAGGCAGGAGCTCTGTCGACACGTATATTAATTTGGAAAACAATCCATGTTCCTTTCCCCTCAAGGAACATGGTGGTGGCTTTGAAGGAACTGTCCATCCGGGGCGACTTCAGGACCACTGTGGAGTATCTCATCAACCTGCTGGAGACCGAGCGCTTCCAGAACAACAACATCGACACAGGCTGGTTGGACCACCTCATCGCCGAGAAAGTGCAGGTGGGGAGCTGCACGCTTCTCCCCTCGGGGTTACGGAGCCCCCTTTCCCCACCTCCCGCCTCTCTGTGGGCTTGGTCACCACTGACACTGAAGCACGGAGTCTCTCCTAGGCCGAGAAGCCGGATATCATGCTCGGGGTGGTGTGCGGAGCCTTGAACGTGGCCGACGCGATGTTCAGAACATGCATGACGGATTTTTTACATTCGCTGGAAAGGTAGGGTGCCCCCCCCGCCGTGGGATGTGTGTTAGTGGCAAGTAAGGCAGATAACCAGCCATGGGACAATTAGGGAGTCCCTCCTGTGTGCTTACCTCTGAAATTCCTCGCCTGTGAACTGAGGCTGCCTGGGAGGAGGCCGCCGGCCGGGGTGGGGGGGTTGGGGGGGTATTCTCAATGCAGCCGGTAGTAGGCAGATCGCCGTGGGCTTATTCATGCTGACTTGTGTAAGGTACTCCATTGTGCTTGAATTCAGAGAGGAGGTGGATTTGAGAAGCAAAGCGGGTGCTAGGTCAGCTCTGCAAATGTTCCTTCCAGACCCTCACCCGAGACAGGCATGGCTAGTGAAGTGGACCAGCCCAGAAGTGGCCGGGTGCTCACTATTAGGGTGAGCCAGGGTTTCTCAGCCCCGGCCCCCTTGACATTTTGAGCTGATTGATTTTTTTTATTGCGGGGCTGTCCCGTGCACTGTGGGAAGTTAGCAGGAGTCCCCCCTCTCTCCGCCAGGAGTCACCACAATCAAGTATGTCTCCAGACATGGCCAAATGTCCTGGGGTAGAGGCAGGAATCACCCCCAGAGACACTGTGATGGGCAAATGAAGCTACCGAAACAACTTTAAAAAGACAAGAGCCGTTAGCATGTGGTCATTGTGCTTATGCAGAGTAATAGGGTTGCACTACGTGTCTCGCTTTCCTTCCCACGTGGGGAGTTTTTTCCGAGAACGAGCGTTACGGGATTTTGCTTCCTGGAAAGCCCTTTTGAAATTTCTCACCCTTCAGCAAGTGCTGTTCCCTTAAGTTCCGAGCAACGTCCCATTCCGTGCCTTTTCATCAGATTTAGCTTTTTAAATACAGCCAGATGTGTTGGTGCTTAGGCGAGGGTGAGGCAAAGAGCTGGGTGACTTGTTTAAATCCAGAGGGTGGCCCTAGTGTTCTCGTTCATTCCCACAGCCGACGGAGAGTCTGTCTTTTCTTTCAGGGGCCAGGTCCTTCCTGCAGCTTCTCTGCTGAACATCGTGGATGTGGAATTAATTTATGGAGGTGTTAAGTACATCCTCAAGGTGAAGGCCCCGGGTTTCTCGGATGTCTCTAGCACTCTGGAGGCTGGTGGGAGTTTTTCTTTCTGGAGTAGACTTGCTCAGGCATGGGTCCTGGGACTCCCCAGGCAGTCCCGTGCCCTTGAAACCTAAGCACTTTGGGTTTTGGCACGTGCAGGCCTGAGCAATACGCACAGCGTACAGCGGAGCTCCGTGTCCCGGGACTCAGGTAACAAAGTACCGTGAGCTGGTGGCTTCAGACAACAGAAGTGTGTTCTCTCAGAGTCTGGAGGCCAGAGTCTAAAATCAAGGTGTCAGCTGGGCCCTCGTCTCTTTGAAGTCTCCAGGAAAGAATCTGTTTCATGCTTTCCTAGCTCTTGGTGGTTGTGGGGCCGTCCTTGGTGTTCCGTGGCTGGTAGACCGTCACTCCAAACCATGCCTTTGGCTTCATATGCTGCCTTTTCTGTGTGTGTGTGCGTGTGTGTGTATCTACATTATCTTCCTTCTGTGTGTCTCTGCTCTGAAGAACACCATTCAGATTGCATTCCTAAATTCCCACCCTACGCCATCTAACCAACTACATTTGCAAAGACACTATTTCCAAATAAAGTCACACGCCGAGGTGCCCGGAAGGACATGAATTTGGGGGCATGATAGCCAGTCCAGTACAGAGCATGAGCAGGACCTTTGCTGAGCTGGCATAGTGTGTGGGTCTGTTTCCAGGGGCCGTGAGGCCAGCTCTGTCCTGTGTGTCTGCACCAAAGGTCAATGTATGGCTTTCTGATCTCTCCCTGGCCCACCTTGGGCTTCCCTGGAGGTTTACTCGGCATTGCTGTCCTCTGTCAGAAGTATCCAGTTACCCTTCCTGGGGCATCTGAGGTCATTTCAGCAGAGACTATCAAGTATCTGAGATGTGTGGGCACAGGATCAGGCCCTGGGTCCAGGTCAGGGTGACCTGTGGGGGCCAAGTGTCCCCAAGAAGCTAAGGCCTCCTTCTCAGAAGGGAAAAGATAACAGAACTCGAGTCTGCCTTTGAGGCAGAATTTTTATGTTGTTACTTTATTTTTAAGATGACTGAGCACATGTTACATTTCCAGCTTTGGGGATTTTCAGGGTTGGTGTAGTCAAACAAGCATGTTCTCCATGGGGGCCTGCCATAAAACCACTCCTCTTTACCCCTCCATGCTTCCTGGCTATTTTAGGGGCCTGGTTCCCCCAGCGTGATTTTAAATATGACACATGCTTACTGTATAAAATGTAAAAATTTCAAAAAAGCATAAAGCATCAGAAGAACAAACCCATGGTGTGTTGACCCTGGGAGGCAATCCCCATTAACGTTTTAGCACATGTCTTCTAATTCTTTGTTCCTTACGCACTGATTTTGCAAAGTTGAGATCATGGTGCAAATTCTGTTTTACTGCTTTGATATTATCATGGCATAAAGTTTTCACGTGCTATTAACATTTTCTTAATATCAGTTTGATGTCCACAGCCAATGGTCCAATGGAACTTTCCGTAGGAACAGAAATGTTCTCTATCTGTGCTCTCCAGTATGGCTACCGAGCACCGAGGAACTGACTTTTATATATGATTTAAGTTAAATTAATTTACATGTAAATAGCCAGAGCCTAGGTCTGGGCTGCTGTATTTGACAGCGTGGGTCTAGAGTATTCCATTGCAAGGTTGTAGGATAGCTAGTTGTGTCTCAGTCTTACTGTTACCATGAATAATGTTGCAATAAACAGTCCTCGGTTTCTTACTACCTCTTGTCTCAACATATGTACCTTAGAGGTGGAGGGCTCTTTAGGGTGTTCTGTTTTCTGAGAGAGAGTACCCACAGTGAACCCAGGGCTAGTATGTCAGATTGAAGTGCAGAGCTGAGGCCAGGGCCTGGCCACCTGTGCCTCTCTCGAGGCTCCCAAACGTCTCGTGTGCCCCTGGGCAGAGCTGGGTCTGGGGAGGGCAGAATCATGGTCACTGGTGGAGTTTCCAGGGCTGTCTCATCCACAGTGAGACACTCCCCGCCGCCCCCCCCACCTTCCCTGCTGCTCAGGGTGGCCCTGCTTGGGGCTGATGCTTAGAGCCAGGAATGAGAAGGGCATGTGAGCCAGGAATGAGAAGGGCATGTGATTGGCAGGAGATGGCCAGGCTGAACTACACCCGCAGCTGGTAGCCATTAGCCACCAGCCCCCAGTAGCCCTTGCTCCTGGTGGTGGTGATGGTGGAGGGGGGGAAGATGGTGCTCTGGGGCCCAGGGACAAGCAGGCTTCCTGAATTCAGGCAGGGACACAGCCTGTCCCCGCAGGTGGCCCGGCAATCTCTGACCATGTTTGTCCTCATCATGAACGACTGTCACATCGAGATCGACGCCCACCGGCTAAGCGACGGGGGGTTGCTACTGTCCTATAATGGTAACAGCTATACCACCTACATGAAAGAAGAGTTTGACAGGTACATGGAGGTGGGGGGAGGGCGCGCAACATAGAGCCACGCTTTCCTGTGGGGCTCAGAGATATAAAGCCAGCCATGTGCAGCCCAGGCGTCTTAGATAAAGTACCTTCTCCAGTAAATTCTGGGGCCCATGGAGAGGTTAATCTCTTGGCTGGACGTCCACAAAACTGGCAGACGTTTTGGGGAGGTTCCCAAGAGGCCAGCTCCTAGTAATGTGGGAGGAACACAGCCGAATGGGCTGTGACTCCCAGCTCCAGGGCCTGCGAGGCATGTGACAGCATGTCAGCTGCTGCTTGTCTGAGCTGCAGTGCCCACGGCCATCTGAGCTTGGGCCTGGAGGAGATGTAGCCATCCAGTTAGGGCGACAGCTACTTGTACTGGGCATGGGGCTAGGTATTGGGATAAGACCACAGTCACGACTTGCGGAGCCTGTTGGCGAACATGACACATTCGGCAAGCAGAAGGGGCAGGACCGGTCGCTGCACCTGGATAAGCGAAATGCAGGATACCCTGGAAGCACTTAGCATGGAGGCATCATGAGATTTCCACCCCCGCCCCCCTCCAAAGACCCTCCCTTTCCAGTGCATCTGACCACGCTGAGCTCGTACAATGAAGTGTAGACCAGCCGGGCTGAGCGGGCAGCACAGACTTCTTCCCTGCCTCCAGCCAAGCAGAGTCAGGCGGGAGTTGGGGTGTGGGTGGGCTGGGGTGCACCACAGACCCCACGCCTGCAACAGCTCCACTTAGAGAATTGTCTCCCTTTCCAAAACTTTGGAAGGCAGACTGGATTCATCCCAGCCAGAGCACTGTTTTATTACCTCTTTTTCAGCCATGTTCTGTCTGCCAAGAATATTCAAGATTATGATAGGCTCCCCCCGCCACCCCCCCCCAGGGACATACTGTCCCCAGTTTAGTTATAAGGTGAAGGCTTAAAGTTGGTAAATATTTATCAGGTAATATCGATGGCCTTCTCCATGCCTCTTAGAATTGTATCCATAAAAGGAACTGGTTTTCAGCCGGAAAAGGGTCATACCCTTTGGTTCACCCCATTCATTCCCAGTATCTCTGCGGTTACCGTCAGACACTGGCATTTGGGCAAATGGAATCCCGCAGACCACACACGGGGTGGGGAGACACTCTGGGCTGCCTTCAGGAAGGGGAAAACACTGTCGAAAGCCAGACTTGGGTGCGCTGGGTTGATGGTCCTCCGTCTGCCTGCCCGCCCCTTCTGTCTCCCAGCTACCGTATTACCATCGGCAACAAGACGTGTGTGTTTGAGAAGGAGAACGATCCCACGGTCCTGAGAGCCCCTTCGGCTGGGAAGCTAGTGCAGTACACGGTGGAGGACGGGGGCCATGTTGAGGCTGGGAGCAGCTATGCCGACATGGAGGTGAGTACAGGGCCGGCCTTCCACTCCCCTCCCCGAGGGAGGGCCATCCCACCCGCATTGCCCCTGCACCCCTGCACCCCTGCACCCAAGCCGGCGGGCCTCCCCTCTCCCCTCTCCCCTGGGCCACCATCTGCCGATTCCTCAGAGAGCCACTGTGTGGGGTTCAGCCCCAATTCTCTGCAGTATTCAAAGGGAAAACCTCAAAAATGTACACCTCCGTAGGAGCGAGGAAGGGCGGGTTAAGAATAACCATGGCGGTGATTTAAAAAGCTGTAAGCCGACACTTACAAAGCGCTTGCCACATGCAGGTGCTATTCTAGGCATTTTACCTGTTTGATTACCTTCTATCATCCTCCCAGCAATCACAGGAGATGGGCACAGATAGGATCCCCATTTTACGCATGAAGAAACAGGGCCCAGGCAGGCTAAGGAACTCAGTGTCCCCTAGAGCTAGGGTTCACACCTGGCCTCCATTCCATGCTGCCAAGGTCAATAATAATGATAATTATTGACAATGGAAAATACGGCAGCAGTAGGAGCTCATGTTGCCGGCCTCCCGCCATGCACCGGGCTCCTCCTTATAAGAGCTGTCGAAAGCCAGACTTGGGTACGCTGGGTTGATGGTCCTTATAAGAGCCCTATGAGGTGAGACTGTCGTTCTTCCCCATTCAACAGTTGGGGAAACTGAGGCTCAGAGAGGGGAAGGCATCTGCTGGAGATCACAGAAGGATGGGTGGGGTGCTGGGGTTCCAGCCCAGCTCTGTCTTGGGTGCCCAAGCTGTGAACCACTGAGCAAAAGGAGCGCAGTGCTGACTGTAGCCCACACCATGGTAACCAAATGCATCACGTCCACGCATGCAGACTCTCAGAGAGGTACGGGGAGCACATTCTTCATTTCACCGAAGGTTCCCCAGAGGGTTTTCTCACTGCCTTTAAATAAGGAGCCAGCCACAAAATGCACCATGTTTTAGGAATGTGTGTGTTGAGCACCCCCACACAGGATGATTTAACAGTATTTCTAAGAGAGAGACTTGACTTTACAAATACAGATCAGTTTCCACATCTGTGAAATGGGTACAATAAATAACCTGCCTCCCTTGCTGGCTTTGCAGATGGAAATAATTCATGAATAGCACTCAGCCTGGCACACAGCAGGCTTCTGGCAAATGCGAGTTCCCTCCCTCCTTTACACTTGAACTCTGTCCAGGGAGTCATTCCAGAGTCCTAGTTCTGGGTGACTCTGGCTGTCACACACACAAGCCAGTTCTGCTGGGTTCATCTGATTTCTCCTTCCTGCAAAACAGGTAATGAAGATGATCATGACCCTGAACGTGCAGGAAAGCGGCCGGGTGAAGTACATCAAGCGCCCGGGGGCCATGCTGGAAGCAGGCTGTGTGGTGGCCAGGCTGGAGCTCGATGACCCTTCCAAAGTGCACCCGGTATGTCGCACCCCAGCGCGGCCACCCCAGCTGGCTCAGGAGTGTTCGCAGTTCTTTCTGTTCTGGGAGTGGAGCTGGCTGGATGCTCCCGGCTCTTGTCCTGCCTCTGTGAGCCCCCAGCAGCCTGTGTGATGGGTACGGAAGCATGGCCACCTTTGCTCATGCCCCTCACACGAGCAGCTCACCAGTCCACTCAGAGTAAAACTCAGATTGCATACCGTAATAATATTGAGTTATTAATATATAATTACAAAGAATAGATAATATTGTTACAATGGATGAAGCAGTATTGATACATTATGACTCCCTGACGTCCCTACCTTATGCAGATTCCTTAGTGGTCACGTTTAAGCGGCAAGATATACAATGTGAAATTCAGCATCGGAACCGTTTGGAAGTGTGCAGTTCAGTGGCATTAAGTGCATTCACACTCTTGTGCGACCAGCACCGCCATCCGTGTCTAGAACTTTCTCAGCTTCCCAAACTGAAACTCTTAAACACCCATTAAACACGAACTCCCGTTCCTCCCTCCCCCAGCCCCTAGCAGTTGCTCTCACTGTCTCTCTGAATCTGGCTTACTCGAGGAAGCTCCTATTAGCGGAATTGTACAATACTTGTCTTTTTTGTGGCCGGCTTATTTCACTTAGAATAACGTCCTCAAGGCTCATCCATGTGGGAGCAGGTGTCTGTACTTCATGCCCTTTTAAGGCCAAGTAATATTCCATGGTACGTATAGCACCCATTTTGTTTATCCAGTCATCTATCGACGGACACTTGGGTTGCTTTGGTCTTTTGGCTGTTGTGAATCATGCTGCAGTGAACACGACTGTATGATTTCTTTAGTTTTTACCCAAATCCAGGAACCCATCCAGGTTAGTGTATTATGTAGAGTCGCCCTGTCTCCTTAGACTCCTTTTTTGACCACGCTTGAAAAAATGGCACACACACACCTGAACTTACGCTCCCCATTCTCCTGCCCTGCGATCCTTCTCTCCCTGGTACTGTCATTCGTGATCAGACAGACGGCTTGTCTCACTGATTGCCCATTGGTCCCAATTTTTTTGGATGTATATACAGAGGTTCGGGTGCTGTGGGGGCAGCACCCCCTCCCTGGGACCAGGAGAAGGGGGTACCAGAGTATCTGTGATATGTATGGCCCTGAAGTCAAGCTCAAGGGGGACTTCCAATTTAGATTCTTATAATCAATTGTTAAGCCTTCCCATGAAACTGGGAGTTCTGAGGTCAAGGACTACTTTCTTGTTCATCACTGTATTCCTGGTGCCTAGCGCAGTGTGTGGGGCATACAGGTACTCAGAGAAAAGCAGGTCTTGCTGCTGAATGAACGAACGTTTACACCCTCCTAAGCAAAGCATGCATATGGAGAGGTAGTCATTCATGCCTGTATTGTGTTTTTTTTTTTTTCTGTAATAGTACATGTGCCAGGGGAGGAGGGGGGAAGGCTGGTAAGATCATTTAAAAAAGAACCACATTGCCTCTTTTTTCCAGAATATTCTATCAGTTTCCTTCTCATTTTTTCATTATTCTCTGTAGAGGGTTCCCAAAGCCAGAAATAGACTGAGCCTTTTCAGATCACCAGAAAGGTGTGTGTGCCTGCATGCGATTCCTTTCAGCAACCATTACCCGCGCCAGGTTCGAGACAGGGCCCGGCCACCAGTCGCTAGGGTTTCATGTTTGCCTATGAGATGACCCTTGTCATTCGGCTCCAGAAGTGCATTAAGAGGGGGCTGCCCTTGGCCCCCACTGTGCCCAGCTGGAGAAGCCAGCACCAGATTGTGGAGGAGACCCTCCAGTTCATCTCGAAGGACGAGACAAGCCCACAGGGTTGGGACAGGGGAAGGGGCAGGGAGCTGAGGGTTCCAGGCCAGCAGAATAGCTCATCCCAAAGCTCCTGGGTCCCAGGGCTGCACGTAGGAAGTGTTCAGTGGACATTTGTAGAATGAATGAATAAACAAATGGGCTCCTGGGGTCAGGGTTGCCCCTTGGGGAGCTTTTCATTTTTTTGATTCTCTAAGGCTAAATGTTTATGATTTACAAGAAGCTGGGACATTTGCATGAGAATTTCCTTAATTTCCATCCTGCTGGTTGTTTATCTTCGGGATTCAATAAAGACAGAAAATAAATAGGGAAAACAGGGAGAGAATTTTGATTAGAAAGCAGAGCAAAACAAAAGAATCTAACTTCCTCCAAAATCACTGGGAGTGTGTAACAACGGACTATGGCATTCTGGGGTGGGGGGGGCAGATTTGGGAAACCCACATCTGGGTGGGTATTAGCAATTTTGACTTTCCAGTATGTGTTCTTGTGGGGTTTTTTGTTCTTCTTCCCTCAGGCTTCATCCTGATTATATTGTGGACTGTACTGGTAGATCTGCCTCGCCCCTCCATTTCTCTCCTCTCACTCAGGAGGCAGGTGTCCTTGACCTCTGGTTCTTGTGTCTCCTCAGGCCAAGCCATTCACAGGAGAGCTCCCTTCCCAGCAAACTCTGCCCATCATGGGAGAGAAACTGCACCAGGTTTTCCACAATGTGCTGGAAAACCTGACCAACGTTATGAGTGGCTACTGTCTGCCGGAGCCTATTTTTAGCACAAAGGTAGGTCACGTGCAAAGGATAGGTGTGTATTCTACACGTGTGTGCAGGTCTGTCTGAAGAGCCAGGAGGGTGTATTCCATGAGATCCGAGATCTTTACTGAAGTAAGGTATGGGGGAAAATGGCTAGCCCTCTGTGGTTTTTACCAAGGACTTATTCTCAGGAACTTCCTCAACTGATTGTAAACATCGGTGTACGTTCTCTTTGATTATAAACTATTATAAAAGCTATATTGTTTTTGTGGAGAATGTTCAAGTGGTAAATTAAAAAAGAAGTCCTTGTGGGTCACCTCTTAAAGAGAGAATGAGGAAGTCACTTTGTTCAGAGACCTGCTGTGTTCCTTGTTCATCCCCGGGGCCCTTTGCCTACTTACTCTGTAGAGAAATAAGTTTTCACATTTGCAGACCTCAGTGAGAGATCCATGATGCTAAATTCAGTATCAGAAGCGATATAATTATCTGTCACATCCTTTCTCAGAATAGCAAAACACGTTAGTGGTGATGCTGGTGGTGATGGTGATGCTGGTGATGATGGTGATAGTGGTGATGATGGTGGTAGTGGTGATGATGGTGGTGGTGATGATGGTGGTGATGATGATGATGGTGGTGATGATGATGGTGGTGGTGATGCTGGTGGTGATGATGGTGGTGGTGATGCTGATGATGATGATGGTGGTGGTGGTGGTGATGGTGGTGGTGGTGATGATGGTGGTGGTGATGATGGTGGTGGTGATGCTGGTGGTGATGATGGTGGTGGTGATGCTGATGATGATGATGGTGGTGGTGGTGATGCTGGTGATGCTGGTGATGATGGTGGTGGTGGTGGTGATGCTGGTGATGCTGGTGATGATGATGCTGGTGGTGCTGGTGCTGGTGGTATTAATGGTTCACCCTTGTCTAGTACATACTGTGCCAACTACTACTCTAAGCACTTGAAATTTATTAAGTCATTTAATCCTCCCAACCACCTATGATATTATTTCCACTTTACAGCTAAGGAAACTGAGGCACAGAGAGACTAAGAACCTTGCCCTGTTTCCCCGGTGAAAAGGCAAAGGTGGGATTTGAGCCCGGGCCATCTGGCTTCAGAGTCCATGCGCTTAGCTCCCGTGCTGTGCCGCCTGATTGTGATTGCTAAAACTACAACATTTATTTAGTCTTTGCACTCACCGGGGCACGCGTTCTTTCATTTTTAAAACGACACAGCTCCTATGGAGTCAGACCATTATCCTTCTCATTCGGAGACCATCAACATTTCAGCTGCTGGGACACCCAGAGGCATTGTAGTGCCGCTGTTAAGAGTCTCTGGAGCTGAGTGGCCTGAGTTGGCTTCTCACTAGCTGGGTGACTTTGGGTAACTTCATCAACCTCTCTGTTTCAGTTTTCTCAACTGTAAAATAGGAATAACGATTATACCTCCTTTGCAGGGTTGTTTCTGAGGATTGGATGAGAACATACAAATAAAGGTCTTAGAGCAGTCTGGCACTAAACGTTAGCTCTTCACGTGGCCTCATGTTCTCTTCCCACACCATGCCGTCTGTCGGGGTGCATGGGGGGAGGTGCAGGGTAACTGGGCCTTGCCCTTGTAGTCAGGGGGCCATTCCCCTTAGGACTGTTCCAGAGGCTGCCGGGTCTAGATGTTTGGCTCTTTGGGTACAGGGTCTGGATGGGCTGAGTGTGTCGGCTGCCCTAGGGAGGGTGGCGGTGTCCGTGCCCCCCCACAGGACCTCTGGCTAATGCTGTAGTCCCCGCTTCAGCTGAAGGAGTGGGTGCAGAAGCTTATGATGACCCTCCGGCACCCATCACTGCCGCTGCTGGAGCTGCAGGAAATCATGACCAGTGTGTCCGGTCGCATCCCCGCCCCCGTGGAGAAGTCGGTCCGCAGGGTGATGGCGCAGTACGCCAGCAACATCACCTCGGTGCTGTGCCAGTTCCCCAGCCAGCAGGTGTGTGTGCCCCCCCCGCCCCACTGGGGTGCCCGTGGGTGCTGCCCCAGGAACTCAACTTCTGGCCGCATGGCCTCTGATCGAGCAGCCAAGATGGCACAGGCTGAGAGTTTCCTTTTGAGCCCTTCTCTACCGAACCCCAGCACTTTCTCCAACGTTGTTGAGATGAGCACGGTTACGTGGCCTTACTCCGTAAAACTCGGATTCAGAATAGGAGGTAGCAGTTGGTACAAATACAGGGAGCATTTCCCCCAACGTACCCAGGCTAAAACAGAGGCAGTTGTAGCTTCCAGGGTAGTATAAAATATCTCTCATAATTCTCTGTTGGCTTGATTTTGTGCTTTTTTTGTGGAGGAGCGGGTGTTGCTTTGTTAAGCATTTTCAAGATAATTTGCATTTGGAAGAACCTCCTCATTCAGTTTACCTCTGCCCTCTGTCGGGTTAGAAGGGCTGCATACCATCATCGTTCCCTCACCCACATGTTTGTGATTTGGGGAGCTACGCGTCAGCCTAGATCAGGTCACTCCTGGAGGTCAACCGCTCTAGACGCTGGAATATTATTCCATCATAAAAAGGAATCTAATACGGATTTATACTGCAACATAGACGTACCCTGAAAACATGCTAAGTGAAAGAAGCCAGTCATTAAAGACCATGTGTTGCCTGATTCCATGTACATGAAATGGCCAGAAGAGGCAAATCCACGGAGAGAGAAAGTGGATTAGTGGTTGCCAGGGGCTGGGAGAGAGGGCTTGAGAGTAGCTGTGAATGGCTATCGGGTTTCTTTCTGGGGTGATGAAAATGCTCTCAAATTCGATAGTGGTAAATGATTGCACAACTCTGAATATACTGAAAAATACTCAATTAGTTGTATACTGTAAAGAGGGAGGACGCCTGGCTGGCTCAGTCGGTAGACCTTGTAGCTCTTGGTCTTGGGGTCATGAGTTCGAGCCACACATTGGGCGTAGAGCCTACTTAAAAAATGAATGAATGAATGAATGAATGAATAGGGGGATACTATGGTATGTAAATTATATATCTCGACTGAGAAATAACCAAAACAAAAGTCTAAAGAACCCCAATTGAGAAAAGTACCTGTTTGGACCTTTCAGGAATTTGTTGTTGGCACAGGTTTTTCATTAAAACTATTTTTTGTTGCCAAAAACAATATGCTAATAACACTAAATCTAGTTATAAAAACAAGACACCCCCTCCCCCAGCCCACTTTATTTTCCCTGGGGTTGGAAACTCCCTTCCCTTCCCCCAGATCATTCATATTTGTAGAGAGGAATAATACACGTGTCTTTATGGGATTGTTGTCATTCTAAGCTCAAATTCCTCAAGCAATATGTTGAGCGGGATGAACAGCTGTTTCTGGGTGTCCGGAGAAGGCTTTGGAGCTGAAATTTTCAGATTTTGAATGAGCCTTGGGTGGGTCCTCCATGGGAGCCCACGGTGGGTCCTTCTGGTGACTTCTTCATGGTGGTAACCAGATTGTGTGATTATGAGTGGCCAGACCTGTCCTGTGTGCCTGTCCAGATAGCCACCATCCTGGACTGCCACGCGGCCACCCTGCAGCGGAAGGCTGAACGGGAGGTCTTCTTCATGAACACCCAGAGCATCGTGCAGCTGGTCCAGAGGTGAGTCCTCGGCCCTCCGTGGGGGGCGGTTGTCAACTCATTGTCTGTGCATTATACCAGTGCAGCATTCTGGGGCTCTCTCAAGGGCAGGCTCCAACCAAGAGACAGCGCTTGGGGTCCAGAGATGCCGATTACCGTCCCGGCGTAGCTATTCCTAACCCCAGAAACCCCAAGCAAGGCCCTTTTCTCCTGTGATCTCAGTTTGCCTGTCTGTAAAATGGGAATAAAAATTCTTCACGTGCAATTAGTTATTCTGAGTTATGAGTGGATCAATGCTTGTAAAGTGCTGATACACAGGGAGTCCTTACAGTAGCTTTGCCTATAGGACAGTGGGATGCAGTGGTTTTATAGGCCGTCAAGGACTCTACAGATTATCCTTGTGGTTTTGAAATCATTGCAGAAGAGAGTTGATGAGGAATTTGTATGTTGAGTAGCTCGTGAGCAGGAAGAACTATTCTGATGACAGGAAGAACTGCCATGTTGTGTGAAAACTCTACCTCACAGGGAAGCTCTGCTTACAAAGACAGAATTGGAGCAGTTTTAAACTGGAGCAGATGAAGTGTATGCATGTTTACCATGTGCTGGGAACAGAGGTACAGAGAGAAGTAGGACCCTAGGAGACTGCCCTTCTTTTCAGGGAGTGCCTTGGCTCATGGGGACTCAGACTGCTCATATAGGATTGAGCTGAGGAAGGGAGTCTTAGTGTGGAGTCCCCACGAAGAGAGAGTTTCACAGCCAAGGGCTAGGAGGGGAGACCGTCCCCAGAACACTGGCTGCTAACCTTAAACCCACACTTTAGCTTCAGAGAAACACCTAGAAGAAAATGAACAATCCCTTAGCAGACTTTTCTGTGTTAAACATAAATATCATAGCTCTGTTTTTTTTTTTTTTTTAAGATTTATTTATTTATTTTAGAGCACGCATGTGCACAGGAGTGGGGGGGAGGGGCAGATGGAGAGGGAGAGGGAGAATCTCAAGCAGATTCCGGGCTGAGCATGGAGCCTGAGGCAGGGCTCAGTCATCGATGCAGGGCTCGATCTCATGACCCTGAGATCATGACCTGAGCTGAAACCAAGAGTCGGACGCTTAACCGACTGAGCCACCCAGGCACCCCTCAAAGCTCCGTTCTGTGTATTTTTTTCTAGGTCACAGTTGAATAAGTGCATGTTCTTTCTTTTGTTGTCAGTGACTCTGGGGTTAAACTGGTCTTCATGCCCTGAAAACTCAGTGTCGTATCACTTAAGAAACTCAATTTCCTACGTGCAGAAGTGATTTAGAAGAGATGAAATGTCTTAGGGAACATCCATGTTAAAATTTGGTTTTTAAAAGGGAAGTGAAATTTACATAGGGATCTATTGATAAAAGTCTTTCAAGTTTCGTTTAATTATCTTTCAAACTCTATACCTAGGATGGTTCATTGATCATTTTTGGTATCAGCCGTGTATGCAAGGCTGACCCTTTTCAGCATCCTGTCTTTTCTCTCTGGGAATGGGCAGGTGCCATCCAAAGGCTCAGACTTGGACTCTGGCTGGATGTATGACCTTGGGCAAGTCACTGCTGTCTTTGGCCTACAGAGTTAGTGCAAGTGAACTGACTCACACATCCCTCCCAGCCTTGAGGATTAGGGGGTACAGCCTCCAGATACTGGATTACTGTTTTCTCCTTTTGGAAGTCCTAAAAGCTCTGCTGTAGACTCGGGCACCCCAGGACGTGGAGCTGATGGTTCAAGCAGCCTCGCCTTTCCTCCCTAGGTACCGCAGTGGGACCCGAGGCTACATGAAGGCGGTGGTGTTGGACCTCCTGCGGAGATATTTACGGGTGGAGCACCATTTCCAACAAGGCAAGAGTCGCCGCCAGCACTGGTGAGAAGCCCACAGGGTGGGAGGGCCCTGAGCCTTACCCCTTTTGTCTCCCTCTAGCTCACTACGACAAGTGTGTGATCAACCTCAGGGAGCAGCTGAAGCCAGACATGTCCCTGGTGCTGGACTGCATCTTTTCCCACGCACAGGTGGCCAAGAAGAACCAGCTGGTGATCATGTTGATTGTAAGCAGGAAAGGGTGCCCCGTACTCACCGCAGGAATAACATGGGGTCCACAAACATTCTGGAAAGGGCCAGAGTATAAATATTTTAGCTTTTGCTGGTCATACAGTCTCAGTCCTGACCTTGTACAACGTAAGCAAATGAACATGGCTGTGTCCCAATGAAACTTTGTTTATAAAACCAGGCAGGGGGTGGGATTTATCAGTCACTGTGGGAGATCATGATTAACACTCACAAAGCACCTACCATGCACCGAGCACTCCTAACATGCTTTACAAATACTAATTTAATTGTCACAGCAAGCCTGGAAGGTGCGCACTGTTCTCTTTTTGGCAGGGCATGTAGGTGAAGTAGTCACTTTCCCAAGGGCACCCAACTTCTAAATGCAGAGCCGGGATTTGAACCCACAGTCTGGACCCCAGAGTCATGAGTTACTAGGGGATAACTGGATTCTGTGTCTTGTGGTAGGATTTTTATTTTCCTTTCTTGGAAAACATGGAATTTCTTTGTTCTTATTTCTCTTCCTACTAGATGATAATTAGCATCCTTTATAGCTAAAGATGTTTCTCCTTGATATGGTTCCTGATGGCTCATTTGGAAAATGTAGAATCAGCAGATAGTAAGAGAGATGTGGACTTGGCTTATAGCAAGAAGTGGCTGGAAGACTTTTTTTTTTTTTTTTGGTAAAGATAGTAAATATTTTAGTATTGAGAACCACACAGCCTGTGTTGCAACAACTCAGCTCTGCTGTCAGTATGAAAGCGGCCACAGACCATGTATAAATGAATGTGTGTGGCCGTGTGCCAATAAAACTTTATACAAAAATGGGCCATGGGCCGGAGGTGCCTGGGTGGCTCAGTCGTTAAGCGCCTGCCTTCGGCTCAGGTCATGATCTCAAGGTCTTGGGATCGAGCCCTGCATCGGGCTCCCTGCTCCACAGGAAGCCTGCTTCTCCATCTCCCACTCCCTCTGCTTGTGTTCCCTCTCTCGCTATGTCTCTCTCTGTCAAATAAATAAATAAAATCTTTAAAAAAAAAAATGGACAATGGGCCAAATTTGGGCCTGGGCCTGTAGGATATTTAACACCCTAACAAGATGGATTCATAAATACTGATATTTTTGTAAAGAATCATCTTGAAATCTAGGGCAACATGAGGATCTCTTAATCCTAGCTGTACATGAGAATCTCCTGGGGTAGGTGTAGGGGAGCTTTTTAAAAACACAGATGCCCGGGCTCCACCCTGGTCAGTTAAATCAGGCTTTCTGGGGATGTGGGTCAGGCGTTAATGCTTTTTGAAAGCTTCGCCAATGCGAAACTCAAGTGTAAGCTGTATATTATATATTGTCAGCTTGGTGTTCAATTTCCTGGGTGTTTTAATGGTTCTTTAGTTAGCTAGGAGAAGATCTTTTTTCTTGAGGTACAATCTTAGTGGGAAGGATCATGGTGTCTAACTGACTTTCAGAGAAAGAAAGTGTATATGTGCACGTGTGCGTGTGTGTGCTTACCAGAGAAAAAGCAGATGTGATAACAATAGTGAAAGCTTAACAGTTGGTGAATCTGGATCATCAGTATAGGGGTTTTCAATGTACTGATCCTTAATTTTGTTTTAAGGATTTATTTAATTTAGAGAGAGTGTAGGAGGGAGGGGCAGAGGGAGAGAGAGAGAGAGAGAAAGAGAATCCTCAAGCAGACTCCCCGCTGGGGTGTGGAGCCCAATTCAGGGCTTGATCCCAGGACCGTAAGATTATGGGCTGAGCCGAAATCAAAGGGTTGGATGCTCAACCGACTGAGCCACCCAAGTGCCCCAACTGATCCTTAATTCTTGTGCAGTTTTTGCAATTCTTCAAAATTAAATTCGGGGGGAGGGCTTTCCAGGTGATTGCAGTGTGCAGCCAGGATTGGGAACTTATGCCCAAAGAGATGTCCACTCTTTGCGGGGAATGCCATTTTGCTAAAATAGTATATAACCCTTTGCAAAATGCCTCCTTTGGATAGAGTTTTTTTTCAGCTGAGTGTTTGTAAAGCAAGGTATGCCTGTTATCTATTACCATCTGCTCGCCATTCAAAGGCCAGGGGTGGGAGCTGTGGGTTATCCTGCTGTTCGTTACTCTTTGTGCACGTGACTCTCTTCTGGGCAGGAAGGTACTAAAAATTAGGTACGCCAGAGGAAATGTAGAATCAGCGGCCACTGGTGGAGTGGCCCCCAGATCAGAGAACTAGGACACATGCCTGGGGCTTCTCAGTGAAGGCGGTTGAAGATGTTGTGCCAGGCGTGGTTTCTGGGATGTCTGTGCGAGATCCATTATTCTTGTGGCTCTCTTGGTTCCATTTGTTGAAAATGACGAGTTCTTTGCATTTGATGATATTTGGTGCTTAGGAGACTTTCCGGAAAGACTTGTTAATTGAATATTTCCTTTGAAACGAAATTGTCTGAGTCTTTGAGGGGACTCGGTTTCTAAAGCGAATCACAGTGGGGGAGGGAGGGAAAGTTTAGAATAATCTATGTGATTTCTTCAGCACCCACAGGCTTGTGTGTTTGTGTACAAGTGTGAAATATTAATGAGGTACAAATGTTCTGATCATAAAAACAGAGCAGGCTCATTCTAATTAGGGAAATGCAGAGGCAGGTGTAGAAGAAAGGACCCCTGGCCCCACCATCTGGCGACTTCTTGGAGAAGTCTGGGCCGGGGCAGGGGTGGGGGTGTGTTCCTGGGTCGTTCACATTCCCAGCAGTCATTGTTCTATCTTCAAGGGGTATCGGGGCACACCTGCTCTGAGCCATTCCCAAGCCCTTCTTGCATTTAGGGCATAAGGGCCTGATGCACAGACCAGGTGCATGGAGCCCTCTGGTCTCTGGCAAAAAGGGTCCTCATTCCGAAGCAAGAGGAGGGGTGCTCATGGGAACCACTGTCCCTTTACTTCTGCAACTCCAGGTCTTCCTTCCTGTAAGAAGCTGCCCTTGACCTCTCCAGAATGCTCCCCATGGGGACTCCCGGAGGGTGACTTACCACACCCTCGCTAGAGCATCCCGTGTGAACCTTACTCTTTGTTTGTACCTGACTCTATTTCCCCTCCTCCCACTTCTCCCAAACTGGGAACCCCTTAAGTCAGGCAGCAATGTATAGAGGAAAGAGTTAAGAAGCCTTGAGGACAGAATAGACCTGGGTTTGGATGTGGCTCGGCTTTGCCCACGCTTGGTGGCCTGGGGGCAAGGCACACAGCTTCTGAGCCTCAGTTTCCTCATCTGTAAAATGGGAATCATAACTCCTCAGAGGGGTGGGAGGGTTTGGGGAAATGAATGTAAAGGGTGGAGTTGCTTGCTTGATAATGGCTGGTTATTAATAGTGATGTAGGTAGAGACTTGATTGTATTTTTTGTCTGAGCAGGTGTTGAGGGCATGGGCACTATTATCAGGCTGTGCCAGGGATGCTCAGAGAGCTGAGGGAGGTAGCTGCACCCGCCTAGCTGAGGGTGAGCGCTGGCTTGTTTCCTTCTGGCGGAGGAAAGGCATCTAGATTCTGTCTCTATCCCCCAAAGGATGAACTCTGTGGCCCAGACCCTTCCCTGTCGGAAGAGCTGACCTCCATCCTCAACGAGCTCACTCAGCTGAGCAAAAGCGAGCATTGCAAAGTGGCCCTCAGAGCCAGACAGGTAGGGTCGTGGGGTGCCGTACCTCCTGCCATCCTGTCCCTCACAGTGCACAGCCCGTCTGCTGCATCCCGGCCCTTGGCGTCTCCCCTGGAAGGCTGGCTTACCCCCTCGCCCCCCCCACCGCAGGTCCTGATTGCCTCCCACCTCCCGTCCTATGAGCTGAGGCACAACCAGGTGGAGTCCATTTTCCTGTCTGCCATCGACATGTACGGCCACCAGTTCTGCCCAGAAAACCTCAAGGTGAGGCCGCCGCCTCTGTCCACCTTCCACAGAGCACACACTGTGGCCCAGGGGGGGGCCTCCGGGAGATGGGCTCCCCATGCCCTCCGTGCGCCAGCACCTGGGTTCAGGGCACAGCTGCAGACCAGCGCTGTAGCCCGGTGTGGCCGGGGCTGCCAGAGGGGGAGTCATGGCTTCATCTTTTGGGCTCCCCCAGCCCCCAACTCTGGATCATTTGCAAGCCTCCAGCTACCCCCTCCGCCTCTGGAACGGGAACCTCAGGTGCCGTCCTCCCAGAACTGTTTCCGCTTTCAGATCGATGGGCCTGGGACACCGGCAGCATTTTCTTGATAGGACCACCGTGGGCTTCCCCACCCTGCCCCACCGTTCCGTTCATCTGACCTGTGGTTGAAACCTGCTCACATTTCCCTTCCTTCCCATCCCCTAGAAATTGATACTCTCTGAAACGACCATATTTGATGTCCTGCCCACTTTCTTCTACCACACTAACAAAGTCGTCTGCATGGCATCCTTGGAGGTAAGTAAGAGGGAGGCCCCAGGAACAGTATCTGTCCCGAAAATGCCAGTTCTTGCATCCGCTGCCCGCCGGTCACGCGCCTCACCCTGGGCCACGCACCTCGAGCGCGGGATCCTTTCCTTCTCTCCACAAGGTAGGTGCTGTTGCTACACGGTCTTCCAGAGAAGGGAAGCGAAGCTCAGGGAGGTGGAGCGACTCACTCAGGGTCTCACAGCTGGGGAGTGGCAGGCCCGGGATTCACACTAGGTCTCAGTCCAGAGTCCTTGCTGGTACTCCCTGTTACCTCCCCCGCCATGCCGGCCTCATCTCAGCAGGGCACACCTAGATACTAGCCACCAAGAGCCCAGGCACCTTGTGCAAACTCTCTGACTCCCTGCATTACATACCTTTGGAAGACTCGTCTGCTGGGAACCTCAAGAGCTGGAAGGAACCTAGGTGATAGTTTCAGGTGACCTCCCTGTGTGATGGGGCAGAAACGGGAATGACCAGCAGCAGAACCCTCTGATCTTGGAGTCTCGGTCCCCTGGGGCCCCCGCTCCCTCTTCCGCCACCTTTGTAGACCCTGTGGGTCACCCATCCTGGTGCTGGAAGGTTGACTGGGTCTCCATGGAGACCGTTTGGGGCTTGTGAGCATGTCACAGCCCCAGAGCCTCCTGGGCCTGCAGTCTTTCCCTCCTCCCCGGTTTCAACTCAGAGAATCCTTTTCAGGTCTCCCTGTTTCCAGCAGTGCGACCCAGTAGCACACATCCGTGCCCTTTCCCCCACTCTTTCCAATGTTCAACTATCTTGAGACCCACTGTGTGCTAGGCGCTGGGGATGCAGCAGGCAACGGCCGCAGTCTCTGCCCTCATGGAGCTTCTCTCTGGTTGGGGAGAGACACACGCTAAATATTTCCTTCATTACACATACGATAGGGTCTCAGGGGGACCATAGCCGTCACGCTGACAAGCAGTCAGCAGGATATAACCTTACTGGGAGGGTCAGCTCCGACTTGGATGAGAAAGTGTTATGAAAGCAGGCATTCAAAGAGCGAGTCAGACTTGGTGGAGAGGAAGAAGCAAAGAAGTTCCAGTCAGTGGGAGCAACCTGTGCAAGGTTACGAGCTGTGTGACGTCTGGTCAGTTGCCTGCCTTCTCTGGACGTTTAGATCCTCATGCCGCAGCAGGGGCAGTAATGCCTGCTTCGCAGGGTTATTTGGAGATAAATGAGTAAGCATCTGATGTGAGCACTGTTGCTGCTCACTGTCCAAGCGCTGGGACCTATGTCACATGGAAGGCAGCAGCCCACCTTCTTTGCTTTTTGGAGTGCTAAATCCCATTTTTTTTTCTGTTGGAGAATTTTCCAGAGCTCTTTGAGCATCCTGTCCCTTTGTTTGGCAGCTTGATTGAACACAATCCAACCTTTTCTCCACAACTCAAGATGAGCATTGTGAACATTACAGTTTTACTTGGTCTCTTGAGATGTGTAGAGTTTTGTTCCTGCTCTAAATGTGTGGGTGTCCCCAAGACCAGCCCGAGGTCCGATGAGTCACTAGGAAGACTCACAGGGCTCAGCAGATGGTCATGCTTGTGGCTGGCATTTGTCACAGTGAAAGGATGCAAAGCACAATCAGCAGAGGGACAAAGTGTGTGGGCTGACGTCCAAAGGAAACCAAGTGCAAGTTTCTAGTGTTCCTGTAGGCACTTCTCATTCCTCAAGGAATGAGAAGTTATGACAACATGTGTTGTGTTTTTTTTTTTTTAAGATCTTATTTATTTGAGAGCGAGAGAACACGAGGGAGGGGCGGGGCAGAGGGAGAGGGAAAGGGAGAAGCAGGCTTCCCGCCAAGCGGGGAACGCAGTGCAGGACTCGATCCCAGGACCCTGAGACCATGACCTGAGCTGAAGGCAGACGCTTAACCAACTGAGCCACCCAGGCGCCCCATGACAACATGTTTGAAGTGAGGCTCAGCGACTCAGTGCCCCAGGGGTTTTATTGGGGGCTGGTCCTAGTATGTAACAAAATTCTGAATTCCCAGAAAGAAAGCACACGTTCAACATAAAATCACTCTTCATACAGCTAAGGTGCCATGAACCATTCTTATCAGGGAAGAGTGGGAACCCTCCCAAATCCAAGTTCCCAGAGGCCAGCCAAGGGTCTTTTAAAGGATAGCAGTTAGGTCTGCTATGTTAACTCTTGCTACACAATTCTTATATTCCTTATTCAATTAAAAAAACTCCCACTGTCTAACTTCTGGAATTGTGCTGTCCAGTATGGCAGCCACTGGCCACATGTGGCTAGTGAACGCTTGAAATGCAGCTGGTCTGAATCGAGCTGTGCTCTAAGTATACAATGCACACTGGATTCCAAAGACTTTGTATGGAGAAAGAATTTCAACTGTATTGGTACTTTTTTATATTGATTACATGTCAAAATGACATTACATTTGGTATTGGGGATGAAATATTATTAAACTAATTTTCACCTGTTGCCTTTTTTTTTTGAAGTGGCTACTAGAAGATTGAAAATTAGAATTGCATACGTGACCATGTTATATTTCTCTCGGGTGGCGCCTCTATTCTAAAGCAGGAGTTGGCGACTATAGCCTATGGGCCACATCTGGCCCACTGCTTGTTTTTATAAATAAAGTTTTATTGAAACCCCACCCTGCCCATTCAGTTACATGTTGTCCTTGGCTGCTTCCAGGCTGCAGTGACAGAATTGAATAGTTGGGATGGAGACGGGTATCCGGCAAAGCCTAAAACATTTACTGTCTAGCCCTTGGCGAAGTAAAGTAACACTGTAAAATGTGAGCGAACTTGTTCTTTGCAACTGCTTGGAGATCATTTAGAGATGATTTCTGGCATCCCTCCGGCCTGAGTTTCATCAGGTTTTGCGGGCACTCTGCAGTGCGCCCTGAGAGAGTGTCTTCTGTGCTTCTGCCTCATTAGGTTTATGTGCGGAGGGGCTACATTGCCTATGAGTTAAACAGCTTACAGCACCGGCAGCTCCCGGACGGCACCTGCGTGGTGGAATTCCAGTTCATGCTGCCCTCCTCCCACCCAAATAGGTATGGAGTGGTATGCGCCCCAGGGTGGTGTGTGGTTCTTTCCTCTCTGACCCCCGTAGTCCTGGCTCTGGAGGGACCCAGCGAGTATGTCTGGGGAGACAATCAGGGATACCACTCCTCCACTGTGGGCTCTCCCTGTATCTCCATTCTCCCATCTGTAAGATGAGATAATCCAGTGTCTACCTCATCCACCTGCACTGCCGTATAGTAGCCACTACCCATACGTGGGCTCTTTAAATTAAAATGAGTGAAATGCAATTAAAAATTCAGCTCTTCAAGTCGTACCAGCCGCACTGAAAGGGCTCAGCAGCCATATGCGGTTTGTGGCTGCCATATTGGATATGCAGTTCTAGAACATTCCATCACCATAAAAAGTTCTACTGGACAGTGCTTTCCTAAACCATGATGCAGAGTAAATGAGATACGACGCACATGGCACTTAGGGCATGTTGTTGGTGAACATCAGGGACCCCTGTGATGATTATCGCTGTGTTGTTAGTGCCCAATGGCATGCTGTTGGTCGGGCACCATGCTAAGCGCTTCCATACTCTATCTGACACGTGAGGAGCCCTGGGCCTTCCCTTGGCACGGGCCCAGCTGCTCATTCGCATGGGGTAGGGATTTGAACCACGTGCCTCTCCCGTCAGAGTGCCCTCCACAGCCCCTGAGGGTCCTCCGGAGCCACCGGCTGGGGCGAGTGTGTTGGCCCATCTGGATCCCCACGATGTCCTCAGTCGGGGACACACTGGGGTGCCTCTTCTCTCTCCCCTTTTTTAATCCATCTAATTTCAGGCCCTGAAGTGCCATCCTGGTCAGGTAGAGCGTGTTACCTTCAGCTAAAGCAAACACGTCTCCCTGGGATTTGGAGCGTTCCCCTTCCCTCTTCCTCACCCCTCTGGGTCTGGTTCTCCTGGGGGTCCGCACACAGGCCTGGCTTGTGGCTAGAACGGTCTCCTCATTATTTGGGCACTGAATTAATCGGATCTTGTATCTATATGGGCAGCAGGATTCATGATTTCTTTAAGTGGGGAATATTTGGATCTCTTGGGGTTTCAAAGCATGGTTTTCTTTCAGTGGCTTTTAAGAAGAAGGGTGTTGCTTTGTTACAGATGAAGAAGTACTTCTCCATGAGGCACCTCCTTTTGTATCTCATTTTTTTTTTTTTTAGTGTTATTTACTTTTACTCTTCTTACTTAAAAAAAAAAAAAGTCATGATATTTTGTCCAATTGAGAGAAAAGGAGTCAAAGTGTTTGTGGCCCTGGAATCATTTGGGGGAATGTGGGTGGCGTGGTGCAAGGGCTTTTGAAACTGTCTGCCCCTGAGGAGGCATTCTGTTCTTTCTTTGATTTTGTTGTCTTAGCAATTCAACCTGGTTAGGATAGGAAGGTGGTTTTCCTAAGCCTGTGGGTCAGTCACACCTTGTTTCTTAGGAGGAACCTATACACATATTTGGGTTATTGGTTGTGACCCTCAGTATGGGCCCAGGGTCCTATTTTGACCCACAGAGACACTGAGGACCCTGGGGAGGTAGGATCTGGAGAGTGTGGCCCTATGTGGGGGGCTGCAATTCTAGTTCCAGGAAAATGGTCAGCTAAACCAAATCTTTGCTTATTTTTACCCCACAAGAGAAGCAGGACATCTAGACTTTTAAAAATAACATGAAATTCTTCAACTTCACTGTGAATAGGTAGTTAATGTATAAGAATATATTAAAAATGCTGCAGTGACCCAAGTCCATCTGTGGGCTGAATTCAGCCCATGCTGCCTGCCAGTTTGCTAATCTGCATGAAGCTGTCCGGGAGCAGGGGGCAGGCCTGGATGGGGAGTTCAGGGGTACCCAACAGGAAGGCACAGAGGCCACCCCCCACCTGGGTCAGGGATCTCCAAGAGCGCCCCACATTTGAGGATTCACTAAGATTTATAGGGCTCAGGATGTGTCATGCTCACGGCTGTGACTTGTCACAGTGAAAGGACATGAAGCAAAGTGAAGGACAGTCAGCGAGAGATAAAAGGCCACGGGCACGGGGGTGGGGGTGCGGAGGGTAAAGTCTAGAGGATACCTGGTGCAAGCTTCCAAGAGTCCTCCGCAAGGGAGTCACAGAGGATGCCCTTCATCCCCCAGCAGTGAGTTGTGATGACCCATGTGCAGTGTTGTCCAGCAGCTGGTTAGAGACTCAGCACCCAGGGTTTTCGCGGGGAGCTGGTCGTGTACACACTGTCCGCCAAGCATGCACCCAAATCCCAGACTCCAGAAGGAAAGCAAGTGCTCGGCACAAACAGTTTGGGCACAGTGAGCCTCTTATCATTTAGGGAATGGTGGGAACCTTCCCCAAGCTCCCAGACACCAGCCAAGGGCCAACCTTGTAAGCAGATCCCCTTTCCAGGAGAGCAGCCCCAGGCCTGCTCTTTTTTTCTTTTTTTAGTATTTTTAGTTTGTTGCCAGTATCTGGTCTTTTTTTTAAGATCTCACCCATTTATTTAATTGACAGAGAGAGAGACAGCGAGAGAGGGAGCACAAGCAGGGGGAGTGGGAGAGGGAGAAGCAGGCTTCCCGCCGAGCAAGGAGCCCGATGCGGGGCTCGATCCCAGGACCCTGGGATCATGACCTGAGCTGAAGGCCGTCGCCCAACCAACTGAGCCACCCAGGCGCCCCAGGCCTGCTCTTTTGACTCTTCTTCTGTACCCCATCTGATAAAGAGCCTCTCCTTCACTTGATTCCAGGGCCCAATTGTCACTGCTCCAGGGGACCCATTTCTATTTGCTGCTGGTGAGCAGCCAGTCCTGGGGGCAGGGACCAGCTAAACTCTAATGGGCTGCTGGCCGAGGGGCCAGTTTTGATTTCTGACCCTGTCCCGGGAGCAGGTTTGATGGAGGCAGAGGCACTGGGGAAACAGAGGCCTGGCATGTCTCTTTAGAACCAAGCCTGTCCCTTCACCAGCCACCCGGGGCTGGGCTGTTTGGGAGAAATTGGTGCTAAGTGTGTTCATTCTCTGTGGCCGAGTTCATGATCTTGGATTTCCCTGGGACCACGTTGAGGCTGGAACTTGTCTGCATGCATGCATGCATGTATGCATCATTCACTCATTCATTCATCACTTGCTTGTGGAGCTCTTAGTCTATACCAGGTCCTGAGCAATCAGACAAGACTCCACAGACCCAGACCCCCATCCCTTCCACCCCCAATCTTAGGTCCTGCTATGCGCGGGCTCTAATGCTAGTCTGGCTCACCGAAGCTTTCAAGGCAGGAGCAGCTCTTGCAGCCAGATCTTCAAGCAGCTGCTTCATTCCCCTCTTCCGGTCCCCCCATAGGATGGCCGTGCCCATCAGCGTCACCAACCCCGACCTGCTGAGGCACAGCACCGAGCTGTTCATGGACAGTGGCTTCTCCCCACTGTGTCAGCGGATGGGGGCCATGGTCGCCTTCAGGAGATTTGAGGACTTCATAAGGTACCCAGAGTGGCCTAGTCCCTCAAACACCCCGAGCAGAGGGGCCAAGCAAGGGTCCCCTGGCCCACGCCTGTTCATTTGTGTAGCCTGCCTGACTGTGCATTTGTACACTGTGAGACTCTGAGCAAATTATTTCACCTCTCTATGCCTTAGTTTTCCCATCCTTATAATGGGGATAAGAGAAGGATCTACTTTATAGGACCACCAGGAAAATTAAATGAGATCGTGTATATTAAATATTGTATTTAAAGTGTAGTTAAAAAAAGGGGAGGGGCACCTGGCTGGCTCAGTCAGTAGAGCATGTGACTCTTGACCTCGGGGTTGTGAGTTCAAGCTCCACATTGGGTGTGGAGCCTACTTAAAAAAAATAATAAAGCGTAGTTAAGGTGTAAGTGACTGCCCTCTCCCCCGACCTGTTCCTCCGTGCTGTGCATTGTGCTTGGATTATCTTGTTCTAACTCCACAATAGCCTTAGTTGATTTGGGGAGGTGAGGGGTGAGGATCCCCCCGGCCTGTGACAGGCAGCCCACCTGATGCCCCAGAGCACCGGACTTCCTTTTATTCACAATCTCAGACCACACAGGCTCCTTCTTCCCTTTTGGGGCAAGACCCCATCGGTGGAGGCTTGGACCTGGTCAGGACCCCAGTGAGCTCGGCACAGAGTTGGATGAGCTCAGAGAATGGTGGGTGGCAAGGAGGGAGGACCCGAGTCTCTCATCTGCCTGGAGCACGATCTTGACCTTCGATGTCACGGAGCGGCAGTCCCTCAGCCCTGCCCCTCCACCCCGCACCCCCAGGAACTTCGACGAAGTCGTCTCCTGCTTTGCCATTGTGCCCCGGGACACCCCGCTCTTCAGCAAGGCCTATACTTCCTTGTACTGTGAGGAAGACAGCAAGGTCGGTGTCCAAGCAGGGAGCATATGCTGAGGAGGGGGCGGGCCGGGGCCCTCGAGTCCTTCTACCACCTACCTTTGTTTTGCCCTCCCAGAACCTCAGAGAAGAGCCGATCCACATCCTGAATGTGGCCATCCAGTACGCGGACCACCTGGAAGATGAGGAGCTGGTGCCGATTTTCCGGACGTTCGTACAATCCAAGGTATGCTGGGGTTGCCTCTGGTTCTGAGTCACGGAAGGAAGAGGGAGGGGCTGTTGTGGTGAGGTGTCCCATGTGCCTGAGTCCTGCTGTGCACTTAAGAGGCACAGACCTGGCTTCCCAGCCCAGCCCCGCGACTCCTCGGAGCCCGTAACCTTGGGCGGAAGTGGTTGAACTCGGTAGTGGCTGAACTTAAACCTTTTCCCCAATAACATGGGGGCAGTGTTTCTCTCTCCCTGGGTGTAATGATAAAAGACAAAGTATAGGGGCACCCAGGCGGCTCAGTCGGTTAAGCATCCAACTCTTGATTTCGGCTCAGGCCATGATCTCAGGGTTGTGGGATCAAGCTCCGCATTGGGCTCCGGGCTGGGTGTGGAGCCTGCTTAAGATTCTCTCTCTCCCTCTCCTTTTGCCTCTCCCTGCCCCCGCCACTCTATCTCTTAAAAAAAAAAAAAAAAAAAGACAAAGTATATACAGTTGACCCTTGAACAGTATGGGTGGAACTAGGCAGGTACACTCATTCCCAGATTGTTTTCCAACAAACACAATACGGTGCTGTAAATGTATTTCCTCTTCCTTGTAATTTTCTTAGTAACCTTCCTTTTTGTCAGCTTACTTTGTTGTAAGACTATAGTATATAGTACGTATAACATGCAAAAAGTGTTGACTGTTTATGTTATCAGTAAGGTTTCTGGTCAACGGTAGGATATTCATAGTTCTTGGGGAGTCAGAAGTTATATGTGGATTTTTAACTGTGCAGAGGATCGGCGCCCCTAACCCCACATTGTTCAAGGGTCAGTGGAACACCACTTAGCCTGTGCAATGAAGAATGAAATGAAGTATATATACACTTCGAGGACACATTCAATAAATAGTTTGGGGGGGACTGTTTCTGTTGAAATAACCCAGAAAACTCAAAATCTTTAAAGAGTCACTTACACTGACCACCATCTATGCAAAGAACTTCTTGTGTAAGCATGTGGCCATTGCCAGCATTTAGTCTCACGCTGGCCGGAGGGACAGCTGTTAGTACGCTCAAGGACCTCCACTGCAAATAGATGTGGAGCCGCTTGGCAAGCGTAGGTAGTAGAAACAGTGGGAAGGTACTGTGTGACCTTGGGCAGGTTACTTTACCTCTCTGATCCGTAGTTTCCCCAACTGTAAAATGGGATGCTAAGATTTCTAACTCCTAAATTAATCAGATCTACCAGGCATGCTATCTGGCTGTTAGTTCTCCTGAGTTGGTCTCAACTTGAAGAACACTTGGAAATTTTCAGTTGTTGTTAGTCTATTTACCTGTACATTGGTCGTATTCTCCGTATTATCCAAATGGGAGGGACACCTCTTACCTCCTCTGACTTGGCATCCCTCAGAAGACCTGGCCTCGTGATTCCTAGGCAGGAGATGGGGGTGAATGATGCTGAGTCACGGATAACGCCTTGAAAGCTTAGGGACATTATTGTCCGTGATTTACTTAGACTTGATAATAAGGTAATGATGTTCACTGTAGAAAATGTTTAAGGTACAGACAAATCTGAAAACAAAACCCACACCCCTACCATCCAGCCCCGGGATGAAGATATTGGCATATTTCCCTTCAGCGGGTTTCTTCTTGACACAGCTGATGTCCTTACTGGGTTTACACTTGGCATCCCACGGCATAGATAAGGCAACATTTGGGTTGTTGGGGCTCGCCCTACCCTTTAACCAAGTCAAATGACGCTCAAGATAGTTGGTGTTTCTGGGCACCTGGGTGGCTCAGTTGGTTAAGCGACTGCCTTCGGCTCAGGTCATGATCCTGGAGTCCCGGGATCGAGGCCCGCATCGGGCTCCCTGCTCAGCGGGGAGTCTGCTTCTCCCTCTGACCCTCTTCCCTCTCGTGCTCTCTGTCTCTCATTCTCTCTCTCTCAAATAAATAAGTAAAATCTTAAAAAAAAAAAAAAAAGAAAAAGATAGTTGGTGTTTCTTACCCGGAGAGAGCAGTGGGAGGGGTGCCAGACTCACCTGTGGAAAGTATGGGCCATGAGGACCCCCAAAGCACGGACGAAGAAATCGTCCTCTAAATACCAACCCGGGAAGATATCCAGGGGCTAGAAAAGATTAAACGTATGTGCTTCTGTACAAAAGAGAGCTAGAGGAATATACACCTGCTGGGGGAAGGACTTTTAATGTTACATATTGCTCTTGTATTGAAAATTTTTTGCATTAAGCGGATACCTACATATATATTCTCCCATACACACATTCATATACATTCCCACACACACTCACACATTGATACACATCCTTAGTTGAGAACAAATCATGGAGGCTCCTCATAGCCAGGCTGGTTTTCCCACATTCAAACCCTCTTCGTTTTGTGGTTTATCCTGTTCTCTTTGCAACCCACGTACCATTAAGTATTCTTTTGTTTGTCTACTTACGTCTTTCTGAAATGGGCTAAGACTACTCATTTTCCCTAATAATTTTCCTTACTGTAGGGACAAGTTAAGAACCATATTTCCTTGTCTTTTGGGTTTTTCTTTCCCCACAATACTGTATATAATAATATTTATTTTGGGGGCACCTGGGTGACTCAGTCGTTAAGTGTCTGCCTTCGGCTCAGGTCGATCCCAGGGTCCTGGGATCAAGTCCCGCATCGGGCTCCCTGCTTAGTGGGAAGCCTGCTTCTCCCTCTCCCACTCCCCCTGCTTGTGTTCCCTCTCTCGCTCTCTCTGTCAAATAAGTAAATAAAATCTTTAAAAAAATAATACTTATTTTGTTTAGGGATTACGTAAAAATAATTTTGTACCCTTCTTGGGTACTTTCCTATTAAAGTTTAACATACAGAAAATGTGTACAAATCGTAAAGGTACAGCCTGATGAATTTTCATAGGGAATTCCCAAGTGTAACCAGCATTTAGATAAAAAAATGAATGTTCTCCTTTCTTCCTTGCCAGAGATAACTGACAACTAGCCTAAGTTTTAACAACATAGATTAGTCTCATCTGTTCTCGAATTTTGTATAAATGCAATCATATAGTGTGCACTTTTTTGTGCTTTTTTACTCATCCTTTTTTTTTTAAAGATTTCATTTTTAAGTAACCTCTACACCCAGGGTGGGGCTCAAACTCACAACTCCAAGATCAAGAATTGCATGCTCCACTGAATGCGCCAGCCAGGCCTTCCCAGTTTGTCTTTTTTTAGTAGAACGGTGACACCCTCCCCCCACTTAATTTTATTAAAGATTTCATGAAATGTTAAAAAATGTATATATGTGTGTATGTATATACATATATATTTCAACATAACACCTTTATTAAATATAATTCACATGTCACATTATTTCTCCATTGAAAATATACAATTCAATGCTTTTTGGTATATTCATACAGTTGTGTAATCATCATCATGATAAAAATATTTTAGAATGTTTTTCCCAACACCACCTCCAAAAAGAAAACCTATTAGCAATCATTCCCCATTTTCCCTCAATCCAACACCCCCCCCCCCCCCCCGCTCCCTGGGCAACCATGAATCTACTTTCTGTCTCTATGGATCTGCCCATTCTGGATGTTTCCTGTAACTGGAATGATGCGATATGAGGTCTTTTGTGACTGGTATCTTCGAGTCAGCATCATGTTTTCAAGATGCAGCCATGTGGAAACTTGTATCAGTACTTCATTTCTTTTTGTGGCTAGATACTATTCCATTGCCTTTTCGGTTTTTAATGCAGAAAAACATCCTTGTGGATTGCGGACTCCGAAGAATCACATTCCTGATTGCCCAAGAGGTCAGTGCGATTCTCAGTACATCCGTATGAGTCTTTAACATTCCTCAAGACTCAGTACCATTGATTTGGCGTTTACTCTGTAGATGGGGGTGGAAGAGAGCAATCGCTAAAAAAAGAGAAGTTTTTCCCAAAGGATTCATTCTAGAAGCATACGGGTTATGGTTAAAAAAAACAAAAAACAAGTATATCAGTATTTAAATGAATCTTAGTTGATTTCATTGTTTCTTTTGCAGAAAGAATTTCCCAAGTTTTTCACATTCAGAGCAAGAGATAAGGTATGACATAAAGCAGTGATACTTTTCTCGCCTCCCTGGCATCTTTGATATTCAGGAAGAGTAGAGTCCCCAGTCCTTAAGGTACCCCTGTATTCTAGGACATGTAATTTCTGTGTAGACTCCAGCCTCCCTCTGGGATTGTGTTTCCCTGTGGAGCTCAGACCCCATGCTTCCCATCCGGATCATTTTTGTCCTCAGATGGCTCTCCCAACCTCTTTTTCTTATGTTCTTGCAGGCCGGCTGCATATTTTTATAAACAGAGTTTGATTGGAACACAGCCACACCTGCTTGATGTCCTATTGTCTGCTGCGGCTTTCTCGTTCCAGTGGCAGAGATGGTGTGGCTGTGACCGACCGTGTGGCCCAGCAGCCTCACACGTTCCCTCTCTGGCCCTTTAAGAAAAGCTTTGCTGATCCCTATTTTAGAACAGGTGGGCTTATTCCCAGCACAGACTCTACACTCCATCCTCTTCAGTATCTCGTAGTTGAATTGATCCAAAGCCTTTCATTTCTAGCTCAGACCTGTCCTTTGGTGAGGGTCTTCATTTTCTCTCTACTTCAGTCTCCGACATGGTCTGTCACTTCCTTTGGGGGACCAGTTTCCACAGAGAAACCAGCGCTTAGTGACTTCTTGAGAGGTACTCTGTTGTGACAGAACAGAGGCTGGTTGTGCCGGCAGGTGCTGGGGACTAGGTAGGCTCACCCGGGAGCCGAAAGGCTCAGGCCGGCATGCAGGACCTGCCATGCTTGCGGCTCTCCTCCGGACCTTCCCAAAACCCCAATCTCTGAGTCCTGGGGTTGCTCACAGGTGACGTGAGGAAGGCTACCCCCCTGAGTTCGAAAACCGCGAACACCAGGGGTCTGCAGGACAGGGCGTGGAGCCAGCAGGCGCGCGGCCCCAGGGACCCATTCGGTGTCTGTCTGTGTGTCTGTCTGTCTCCACTCTCTGGCCGGCCCCACAGTTTGCAGAAGATCGCATTTACCGTCACCTGGAGCCCGCCCTGGCCTTTCAGCTGGAGCTCAGCCGGATGCGCAGCTTTGATCTGACCGCCGTGCCCTGCGCCAACCACAAGATGCACCTTTACCTGGGCGCGGCCAAAGTGAAAGAAGGGGCAGAAGTGACGGACCACAGGTTCTTCATCCGCGCCATCATCAGGCACTCAGACCTCATTACAAAGGTAAGACATCACCGAGGGCAGCTTTCTCCCTCTGAGCTGCTCACTCGCGTGCTGGCCTTCCCTTCGCTGAGTCCCTGCTCTGTGCTGGGCACTGGGCGGCATGCTGGGGATCGTGGGGTGTGCCGGGCACATACATCTGCGCCCTTGTGACTCTCCCGCCTGGGGAGCACGGGGGAGGCAGACATCAAATGGCTTGTGTGCATGTCCCGGCTGGCGGCACATGGACAACTTTCTTGTGTCCCACGGATCTGTCTGCATGAGGAGGGAGTTGAGAAGATAGGAAGATACTGGCTTATTAAAGGAGTTTCTTGTACTTGCTTATTGAGTGCATGATCATTTTTCATTGTTTCTTGCATTCAGACAGGTGATCTTTGATTTTATTTATTAATTAATTTATTTTAAAGATTTTATTTATTTATTTGACAGAGAGACAGCGAGAGAGGGAACACAAGCAGGGGGAGTGGGAGAGGGAGAAGCAGGCTTCCCGCCGAGCAGGGAGCCCAATGCGGGGTTCGATCCCAGGACCCTGGGATCATGACCTGAGCCGAAGGCAGATGCTTAATGACTGAGCCACCCAGGCGCCCCAAGTTATCTATGATTTTATTGTAAACTTTTCAAACAATATTGAAAATGACTTTTTCTTTAAAGATTTTATTTATTTGGGAGAAAGAGAAAGCATGAGACAGAGGGGAAGGGCAGAAGGAGGGGGAGAAGCAGATTCCCCACTGAGCAGAGAGCCCGATGCGGAGCTGATCCCAGGACTCCAGGATCATGACCCGAGCTTAAGGCAGATGCTTAACCAACTGAGCCACCCAGGTGCCCCATAGTGGATTCTTTTTTTTTTTTTTTTTAAGATTTTATTTGTTGATTTGAGAAAGAGAGCACAAGTAGGGGGCAAGGGACAGAGGCAGAAGGAGAAGCAGACTCCCTGCTGAGCAGGGAGACTGATGTGGGGCTCGATCCCAGGACCCTGGGATCATGACCTGAGCCGAAAGCAGATGCTTAACCAACTGAGCCACCCAGGTGCCCCTTGAAAACTACTTTTAAAAATCAAGGAGAATGACCCAGAATCCCACCACTCAGCAGGGGTCAGGCCCTGTTGGGGACCCTTTCTAGGCAGGATTCCATATGTGGAGTTGCAGGTGTCATGTTATTGGTGGGAGCTCAGGGTGGACAAACCATTTGAATACTGTTGCTGTTTTACTGGTCAATTCCTTTTTTTTTTTTTTTTAAGATTTTATTTATTTCAGAGAGAGAGAGAGTGTGTGTGAGTGCAGCCGTGAGCAGGGGGAGGGGCAGAGGGAGAAGCAGACTTCCCGCTGAGCAGGGAGCCTGACAGGGGCTTGATCCCGGGACCCTGAGATCATGACCTGAGCCGAAGGCAGCCGCTTAACTGACTGAGCCCCCCAGGCGCCCCTACTGGTCAGTTCTTGTAGACCTCCTCTCCCACGGTAATGGAGATGATCAACTTCCTGCTCTCTCCTTGCGTGGATGTACCATGTGTGTAATTTTTTTTTTTTTTCCGAATCCTCTACTGATGGACATGAAGCTAATGTCAGTTTTTTGCTACCTCAGTCAACTAGCTATTTTAATGGATTTATTATTTTCAGGTACAGTCAGGCCTGTACTTCCTAACAGATCAAGAAACGGTTGCCATGGAAAAGATGGTCACTCTCAGATCCCAAGAGGAGGGGGCACACCATATGGCAGGGAGCTACGAGGGGAGACACCAGGGTTGGTCGGGAGGCAGGGGAGGAGAGGGAAATGTGGGTAAGAGTCTTTGTTGTAGTTTCTGCAGGAAAGAACAACCAGTGAGGGAGGGTAGGCAGGCTTGGGACTGGCTAGTCTGAATACTTTCAGTAGGTTCTGGAGCCGAGGGGCTGTCTCTAGGTGTCTGGTACCTGGGCCTGGGGTGAGTAGGGCAGGTGGATAGTGACCTGGGACCTGAGAACCCCAAAGAGGCGGTGTGTGCTCTGGATTGGCTGGTTTGCCTTTGAAAAAGCACGCTCAGGATGGAGCTGTTTACCATCTCTAGGGATTGGCCACCCTGGGAGGGGCAGCCCCTCCAGGGTCAGGAAGGCCCCAGTTGTCAGAGCATCACAATGCAGAAAATACAGAACTTGGCAAATACGCTGGGTAGCCTTGGAGGCAGGGCTCTGCCCTTCTCATCTGGCACACTTTCTGGAGGAGGGGAGATGCTTTCCTCTCTCCTTTCTGTCTGAGGCTCCATTTCCAGCCCTGGGCCCCTTGCTTTAGCATCTGTCCCCCGCTGACTTCGGCAGGAAGCCTCCTTTGAGTACCTGCAGAACGAGGGTGAGCGTCTGCTCCTGGAGGCCATGGATGAGCTGGAGGTGGCATTCAACAACACGAGCGTGCGCACCGACTGCAACCACATCTTCCTGAACTTCGTGCCCACCGTCATCATGGACCCCTACAAGGTCTCTCCTCTGGGGACGCTCTGGGTTCAGCTTTCACTGGGGCCTATGGCACTTCACGTGCCTTTGCTGCTTTGGGGTCTTGTCTCCTTGCACTCGAGACCTCTAAGTTCCAGGACATGCATGTGCCTGTTCGAGCCTCGGTTGCTGTGGGTGGACAACCTGCTGTCATTTAATTCCAGGGCCATATTTTTGCCACCACCCTTAGGATCGTCCCTGTTCTGATGGTCACTCTCCGTGGGCAGCATGCTTCCCTTTTAGGACAACACGCATGCCCAAAGTGTCTTGCAAAACAAAATTTCATCCCTGGTTCCCGGCTCTTTCAGGGGACCAGGTGTGGGAGGGAAGGGGAAAGAGAACCATTCTCCCATGGCTGGTTCTTCATGAGCAGGCAGAGTTGATGCTGGTGATTCTGGGATGAAAGAAGTCCTGGGTTATCATCTTGGCATCCGTGGGGTGCAGAGGGCCCATGCTGATGCCCCAACTCCACCAACCCATGTACTTCCCAGAAGAGAAAATGCAAACGTTTGAGCTACGTGGTGGAGATAAAGATGATGTAATGTAGGCACACTATCCCTGTCGTTTACCAGCCTCCGTTTCCTCATCTGTCACCGGGGTATAAAAGTGCCAGCCTCTCTGAGTAATTATGAGGATGAAACGAGATAATGCTCTTGACATGCTTAGCATGGCAACTATGGTTATTATTGGCTAAATAGTTGTTGGAGACACACTGTGTCCCAGGTATTTTGTGTTCAGTGTATGTCATCGTTCCTTTATTATCGGTGCTAGAACTATTTATTACAAGTGTGCACGGAATGGGCCCTGAGATTGGAATTGCTGTGATTTGGGGCAGATCGAGGAGTCCGTGCGTTCCATGGTTATGCGCTATGGCAGCCGGCTGTGGAAACTCCGCGTGCTGCAGGCTGAGGTCAAGATCAACATCCGCCAGACCACTGCTGGCAGTGCTGTTCCCATCCGCCTGTTCATCACCAATGAGTCGGGCTACTACCTGGACATCAGCCTCTACAAAGAAGTCACTGACCCCAGATCTGGAAATGTAAGGCTGGGAGGCTGGGGGGGTGGGGATGCCACAGAGATCCAAGTCAAAGCAGAGGCAGAGCAAATCTGCTCCCGAGAGCAAGACACAGACTAAAATGCTATTTGGTGGCCATTGTGCCTTGCCATACTGGATTGGGGTAGCTCCTCGGAGTTTACAGTAAACATGTTAGCTTCTGAATCCCAGTTGTTCATTCCTCTGGGAAGGAGAATCAATCTCAAATTTAATCTATTTTAGGACCATATTTGGGAAAAGATGTGGAATATTGTGGTTGATTGTAATGCAACTCCCAGGTTGGTTCACTTAGGGAAATGGGTGTATTTTCCCCAACCATGTTTTAGAACAGATGTTTGTCAACTGAATCAAATATCCCGTTGACTTCCTTTTTAAATATATAACTCTTTAAATGATTAAAGACTCTCAGGAAGTTAGAAAAATAGTACAGAGGGAAAAAAAGATACCACGGAGAGTTCCCATGTACCCTTCACCCAACTTCCTCCAGTGATAACAACATAACCACGGGACCTTGTCAAAACAGGAGATTGACATTGGTACAGTACTATTAACTCAAATGGGGACTTAATTCAGATCCAGCCAGTTTTTATGCACTCATTTTGGTTGTGTGTGTGTGTGTGTGTGTATGTGTGTGTAAAGTACTGATAGTCACATTTTTGGAGTTATGCTCCCATACCTGCCACTGTCCCTTCTTGTTCTGGTTGCCCACAGTGGCAGAGAAAAGAAGATCAGCTCTCCGGGGCACTTACTTTGTCATGTGATGTGACATGCTTTGCTTCCTTCTACCACATTTTCATTGAGGAGAGTAGGATTAAATGGGACAAGACTATGCTTCTTTGAAAGTTCCCTCCTTCACTCTGTTTTTCTGTCTTTCTTTCCAGATCATGTTTCACTCCTTTGGCAACAAGCAGGGACCCCAGCACGGGATGCTGATCAACACTCCCTATGTCACCAAGGATCTGCTTCAGGCCAAGCGATTCCAGGCACAGTCCCTAGGCACCACCTACGTCTACGACTTCCCAGAGATGTTCAGGCAGGCAAGTCCTGCAGCTTTGCTGTGGCACCACCCCGGTCCCCTTAGGGAGTCCACCAGCCCCTTACCCCCCATCCTTAGTTACTCTTCTGAAGACCCCAGTCGGAAGAATGAGGTCTTCATGGGAAAAAAGAAATCAATATTGGGAATGCCTTCCTAATATTTTTCCTAAAATGAACCCACTTTCCTCCCAATGATAAAAAGTAATATAATATAGAAACTTTGGAAACTAAAGGAGTATGGAAAAAAGAAAAAAGTGGCTCAAAGTTCCATGTCCTAAAGACACATTGCTTAATATTTTGATGTGTTTCTTTCTGTTTTTTTTTTTTTTAAGATGTGTGTATTTCAGAGAGAGAAAGAAAGAGCATGTGAGCAGGGGGGAGGGGCAGAGAGACAACCTCAAGCAGACTTTGTGCTGAGTGCAGAGCCACATGTGGGGCTTGATCTCACGGCCCTGAGATCATGACCTGAGCCAAAATCAAGAGTCAGACACTTAACCCACTAAGCCACCCGGGCGTCCTTTCCTCTGGTCATTTTAATGCTCATTTAAGTTCCTGCCACATGCTTGGCTCCATTCTAAGCTTAGGTAACCCGTGAGGAAGAGGGTAGAGTCATTCACTGCCTTTGAGGAATTTTTAGTCTACTTTTAATAAATAGTGTCTTGGGTTTTCCTGAATATTAAAGTATTCTACCCTTACGTAATCTATTCACCATTGATGACTATAGTAACGTTTTAGTGTTTTCCTTCGAGGATTGTTACTGTGCCTTTATTTTTTACGTAGCAGGGCCTTTCAGGGACACTGAATAGGCTGGCACTGGTGACGGGGATATCTGCTTACATCACTTCCATTGCCTTATAAATGATGCTCATGAACCCATGACCATGGACCTTCCCCTGTAGGTAGGAAAGCCTCAGTTCACTTCAGGCATAGGAGAGGCAGAATGGTAGTAAAAGCTGCTATTTGCAGTCACTCAGGCTTGGTCTGAAATTCTGGATCTGTCCTTTGCTTTCTGTGTATCTTTGGGCAAGTTCCTTCACCTCTCTGGGCTAGTTTCCTCCTCTGTCAAGTGAGGATAATAATAGTACCTGCTATGCAAAGTTAATTGTGAGGAATATATGTAATGTATTCATAATTAAGTAGGTGCTTAATTAAATTAAAGTAGGTGCTTAATTAAATTAAACTTAAACTTGTATGATTAAGAAGATCATTTATCCTTTTGCCTTTGACCTCAAGGGCCATAGAATAAGAAAAAGACAAATCAGGAGCAAATCCATCCCTTTTCTTTTACATAAAGAAACAGAGTATTATGGACAATGCATAAATTTGAAAACTTAGACAAAAGAAAATTTCCAAGAAAAATATATCTTATCAAAACTGACTCAGGAAGAAATAGAAAATGTAAATAGATTATTAGCATTAATGAAACTGAATACTAGTTCAAAAAGTCTATCCACTACAATTGGGTACAGATGGCTTTACAATTTCTATCTAGCCCTCAAAGAGCAGATAATTCCCTTTGTGTACAAATTGTTTTTTGTGGTTTTTTTGTTTTTTATTTATTTATTTGACAGAGCCACAGCAAGAGAGGGAACACAAGCAGTGGGAGTGGGAGAGGGAGAGGGAGAAGCAGGCCTCCTGCCAAGCAGGGAACCTGATGTGGGTCTTGATCCCAGGACCCTGGGACCATGACCTGAGCCAAAGGCAAGACGCTTAACAACCGAGCCACCCAGGCGCCCCACAAATTGTTTCTAGAGAGTAGAAAAAAAAACAAAGGGAACACTTCTTTACTTGTTTTATCAGGTTATTATTACCCTAATATGAATCCTGTATTGGAACATTAGAAGGAAAATTGGTTGTCTCATTTATGAATATGGACACAAAAATCATAAATAAAATATTAGTAAATGAAATCCAGTAATGATTTTCCTTAAATTGGACTAAGTAGGTTTTATCCTGTAACTGCTTATATGATTTGATATTAGGAAGTCTATTAATGTAACTTACCATACTAATAGATTAAGAAAATTAAATTTTTCAATAGATGCAAAAAAAAACTAATTGAGAAGATAATATCTGTTAATAGTAAAAACTTTTAATAAACTAAGAATAGAAGGGAATTTATCTTGATAAAAGATATTAGTCTATAACTAATAGCATCTAATGGTGAAATGTTAAAAAGACAGATACAGGATAGATATATCCATTATTACCATATGTATTCAATATTTTTTTTATTGGCGTTTCTGGCCAATGCAATAAGACAAGAAAAATAAAGTATGAAGACTGAAATGCAAAAGAAAACAAAATGGTGTTTTTGCAGATGATATAAATGTCTATATAAGAAATGCAAGAATCTATAGCATCAATGAAATAATATAGCAAGATTGCTAGATACAAGATCAGTATACAAAACTGCATTCTCATAGATCAGCAGAAATTGTAAAATGTAGCTGGAAAAAAATAGTGTTTACAACATCAAGATCAACTATAAGGTTACTTGTGAATAAATCAAAAAACATACAAAACCTTTATGGAGGAAATTTTTAAATTTTCTTGAAACACTGTAAGCCTAAGTAGGTGGAGGGGTATATCATGCTCATGAAGGATGGGAAGATTCAATATTGTAAAGTTACTAGTTCTGCCCAAATCAATACATTCAGTATAATCCCAGAGTTTTTTGGTGAAACTTAAAAATCCATATGGAGAAGCAAAAGCTTGTGAACAGCAAAAATAATACTGAAACAGAACAAAGTCAAGAGGACTCGTCTTAGCCAATGTCATTACTTGTTTTAAAGTAGCAGTACTTACTACAGTGTATTGTTGTAATAGAGCTAGGTGAGCAGACCAGTAGAACAACACAGAGCCTGGCGCCTGGGTGGCTCAGTCGGTTAAGTGTCTGCCTTCAGCTCAGGGTATGACCCCAGGGTCCTGGGATCGAATCCTGCATTGGGCTCTCTGCTCAGCGGGAAGTCAGCTTCTCCCTCCCCCTCTACCCCTCCCCCTGCTCATGCTCTCTCTGTCTCTGAAATAAATAAATAAAATCTTAAGAAAAGAAAAACGAAGAGCAGCACAGAGCCTAAAATCAGACCCACTCATAAACAGAGCCTTGAATAAACAGAGCCTTGACAGAATGCAGAGGTGGGATTGTGAATCAAGGCATTAAACTTCACTAAAAGGTACAGTAGTCCCCTATTATCCATGGCTTTGCTTTCCATAGTTTCATTACCTGTGGTCAACTGTGATCTGGAAGCAGATGATCCTCCTCCTGATCTATGCTCAGAAGTTCAGTGTTAGCCTAATGCTATGTCACAATGCCTACATCATGCCCCTCACTTTATCTCATCACGTAGGCATTTGATCATCTCACATCATCATAAGGGTGAGTTTAGTACAGTAAGACATTCTGAGAGCGACCATGTTCACATGGTTTTTTACAGTTTTTATATAGTTTTATAGTTTTTTATAGATAGTATATTGTTATAATTGTTCTTTTATTATTATTATTTTACTAGGCCTAATTTATAAATTAAACTTTATCATAGTTATGTATGTATCAAAGAAAACATAGTATGTATAGGGTTCAGTACTGTCAGAGTTTCAGGCATCCATGGGCTGTCTCAGAGCATTTCCCCCATGGGTAAGGGAGGACTTACCTAACTGGAAAAAGTAAGTTTTGATTTCCACTTTATCTAGTTCACAGAAATAAATTTCAAGAGGATTAAAGTCACTTGGAGTCAGTTGAAAGCTCCAACTGTACAGGAAAAGACCCATAAACTTGACTATATTAACATTTTGAAGGTCTTTATGCAAAAAATGAAAGATGAGCCCCAGATGGGGAGAATAGTTTCAATGCCTGTACCAGCAAGGGATTACAACTAGATTATCTAAAGAGCACTAATAAATCAATTAGAAAAAAACAAAGCTATAAAAAATGTGGGCAGGAGTTATAAACAGGAAGAAATTGACAAAAAAGAAACTCACGTGGTTAATAAACATATTCAAAGGCTCTCACCTTACTGATAATCAGTGAAGTACAGCTTAAAACCACAATATAATTTCGTACCCAGCAGATGGATAAGCATGAAAATATTTGACAAAACTAAGTATTGGCAAACATATAGAGAAAAGGGGTTCTTATACTTTCTTACTGGGACTGTAAAGGATTTTGAAAAATGAGAGGGCAATTTGATAATATTGAGTAAACTTGAAGCTTCACAAACCCTGTGATCCAGCAATTCCACTCCTAGGTACTCACCTGATGAGACTCTCATCCATGTTTATAAGAAGAGACCACCAGGATCTCATTACAAGGGTGCCTGGGTGGCTCAGTTGGTTAAATGTCTGACTTCAGCTCAGGTCATGAACTCAGGGTCCTGGGATTGAGCCCCACGTCAGGCTCTACACTAAGCAAGGAATCTGCTTGTCCCTCTTTCCCCACTCGTGCTCTCTCTTTCTCTCTCAAATAAATAAATAAAATCTTTAAAAAAAAAAAATGCTTATTACAGCCTTATTGTTAATACCGTAGGATTGGAAGCAGCCTAAATGTTCCTTAAAAAGGGTTATGAATAGCTAAGTTGTGATCTACTCACACCATGGAAACTGAATAGCAGAGAAAATGAATGAACTAGAGTTAAATTTCTCAATATGGATAAATCTCTCAAACATATGGGGGAGCCAAAGGGGTCAGATGCAGAAGGGTGCGTCCATCACAAGACCATTTATTTAGAGTTTAAGTCCTGCAGGGGCGCCTGGCTGGCTCAGTTGGAAGAACATGGCACTCTTGGTCTTGAGGTATGTGGGTACCCACGTGGGGTATAGAGATTGCTTAAAAATAAGTTTAAGTTATGTCTCTACATCCCACGTGGGGCTCGAATGCACAACCCCATGACCAAAAGTCGCATGTTCTTCCAACTGAGCCAGACAGGCGCACCCCCATGTGTTTAAAATGTATGCCTATATAATGAAAGGCATAAAAACATACACAGGACTAGTAGACACTAAATTCAAGACAATGGTTATCTGGGGTTGGGGAGAGGGGGTACACCAGGGGCTTCAACTGCATTTTTCTTATTCCTTTAAAAAAAAATGGGGGGCACCTGAGTGGCTCAGTTGTTAAGCGTCTGCCTTCGGTTCAGGTCATGATCCCAGGGTCCTGGGATCGAGCCCTGCATCGGGCTCCCTGCTCAGCGGGCAACCTGCTTCTCTCAATACCAGGACCCTGGGATCATGACCTGAGCCGAAGGCAGACGCTTAACCGACTGAGCCACCCCCAGGAGCCCCATCAGTAGTTCATAATTTAAAGAGAGAAAGAACTAGAAAATGTGCCTCCCTAATGAGGACTTCAGGTTTTCTCTTTCTTTCCCCATCCCCAGGCTCTCTTTAAACTGTGGGGCACCCCGGACAAGTTCCCCAAAGACATCCTGACATACACCGAACTCGTGCTGGACCCTCAGGGCCAGCTAGTGGAGATGAACCGCCTTCCTGGAGGAAATGAGGTAAGAACTCAACGGAACCCGGCCCCTGTCTAGAATCGCCCTTTCAAAAAACATCCCCCTGAAGCAACAAACCGTTCTTCCTTGTGTGTTTCTCTCCTCGGCAGGTGGGCATGGTGGCCTTCAAAATGAGGTTCAAGACCCCGGAGTATCCAGAAGGGCGGGACGTGATCGTCATCAGCAATGACATCACGTTCCGCATTGGATCCTTTGGCATGGGAGAAGACCTCCTGTACCTGCGCGCATCAGAGATGGCCCGGGCAGAGGGTATCCCCAAAATCTATCTTGCAGCCAACAGTGGGGCCTGTATTGGCCTTGCAGAGGAGATCAAGCACATCTTCCAGGTGGCTTGGGTGGACCCAGAAGACCCCCACAAAGTACGTCCCCAAACCAGCATGGTGGTGTCATGCCCCCCAGTGGGGGTGATAGCGCCTACAAGGGGGGGGCAGGGTGGAAAGAATCTTCATGCCCTTTGTGTATAAAGCACAGATCTACACATACAGCACATAGAAGGCATACAGTAGATCGGTCTTAAAATTTCATGGGAGGGAGTGGTGGTTAGGAAAAAAAGTGCCTGGAAAGGTGCCTGAGGGGAATAATAATGAAGAGAAGTTTGTAAACACTGAGCTCATATATCCAGAGTGTCCCCTGAATGAGGCGTACACTGAGGAGGCAAAGGTGAATAAGACACAGTTTCTGGCCTCAGAATTCTCCGAAATCATCCGGGATATGTAGACACACTAGCCACAATAAAACGTAGGAAAGATGAGAGAAAAGGTCACATTTTGTGATGTGGAAAGGCAGGGGACAGAGATTTTCTGCAGCTAGAGCACGCATTCTCCAGGTAGCGGTATCACCCCCGCCAAAGGGGGCAAGAATTATGCTTTTCATGTAAAAAGCGTGTATACATATGTACACACATGCATATACACGCACGTATATACATAATGCATACATACACATAGTTCATAAACTATAATAGAGTTTCGTGGAGGGAGCTGGCAAAAGGGAAACAAGTCAGAACAGACCCCTTAGGGGAGCAGGGATGGAAAGGTGATTGAGGAACTGATTTGGAGCAGGAAAACGGGAGATCGTGTGTAAGGATGAGTGGAAGGCGCTTGGCACTGATCAGACCTTCAGTTTGTAGCTGTTATTGATACGGAATTAACGTCAGACCTGTTAACTGTGCTGTTAACATATTGTTAACTCGTTATTAACATCCGCCCCTACAGGGTTAACATTTTTGTTCAAAAACAGCGGATGCACTGTGCAAGTTATTGGATTCATAGCTTCTCTGGCATTTTTTTTTTTTTTTTTTTTAAGGGATTTAAATACTTGTACCTAACCCCCCAAGACTACACCACAATCAGCTCCCTGAACTCTGTCCATTGTAAACACATCGAGGAAGACGGAGAATCCAGGTGAGTCATTTATCACGTACCTCCTTCGTTTTGCCTGGGGTCAATTTCAGCTACTAATGGGCAGTCCCTCTCTTTGCCTTCGGGCTTGTGGGTGATGTTTTCAAATGGGGTGGTGGTATTTGTACCGTGGGACCCCTGAGCCTTTCGGACATTGATGACTAAGACACCTGGGGCTTTCTTCAGGGTGAGCCCATTCTTGCCATCCCAGAGTGAGTCGTGGCTTTCACAAAAATAGTACCTCACACAGGAAGAATTCGATTGGATTGCCATGGTGTCCCTGGAGCTGCAAGCTCAGATTTAGGATCAAATTAGCCTAGCTGATGCAGCAGCGATTTGACAAGCTGGGGAGGTGTAGACAGGGCAGGGGTCTGCTCCGTGAGGAAGTCCAAGGCTACCAGCTCTCTTTTCTAGGGAATGTTATGGGTTTGTTTGTTTTTTTTTTTGTTTTTTTGTTTTTTTGTTTTAAATGGAGTTGACAAAATCAGAAATTCCCAGGCTAGGTTTTCTGGAACGTTAGTGGTGATACGTTGTGGGCGGTGGTGAAGAACCATTTCCATAGTCAAGTAAGTTGAGAAACCCTGGGTTTAAATAGGATCTAACAAGAGTCTTTACTGCAGACCTTGTCAGAACCTTTACTGCTGCAGTGCCTTGTGAATCTCTAACAGGGGTTAGGCTGTACAGCGTCTCACTCTCCTGTGGCCATAGAATCTTGACTGATTGTGAATTTCCCCATCTCTCTGTAGACCAAACTCTATTCTAGATTGTTTATGGAGGCATGTAGGGTGGGGGTGACGTTTCATTAGGACAGCCTCCAAATAAGCTGACATCTTTGGCGGGAAGGGTGGTAATTATGGATGCTGCCCTTGCCCTTCTAGAAACTTTAGGGTCAATTGTGAGGCCCTTAGACCCCTGCTTTCATTTCACCTCAGGCTGCTTTACCATGTCTATTCCCTTACCTTGCTCGTTCCTCCTGCCCTGGGTCCTGGGGAAGTGCAACAGCTTTGAATTTTTCTGGGCTAGAGCTCTGTCTTGAACCCGTGTTTGGTTCCTGAAGGTATGTCATCACGGATATCATCGGGAAGGACAGTGGTGTGGGCGTAGAGAATCTCAGGGGCTCCGGCATGATTGCAGGGGAGTCCTCCCTGGCTTACGAAGAGATTGTCACCATCAGCTTGGTGAGTCGCCTATTTTATTTCCTTTTCAACTTTCTCTCATGGAATCTTTAAAGCAGTCACAGAAGGAAGGAGCCCCGTGTGCTCAACACGCAGCTCCGGTGATTATCAACATGTAGCCATTCCTGCGTCCTCGGTCTCTCAGCTCTCCTGTTTGGGGATAATTTTTTTTAAAGATTTATTTATTTATTTTAGAGAGAGGGAGAGAGAGAGAGAGAGCGGGGTGGGGGGTAGGGGCAGAGGGAGAAGGAGAGAGAAACTCAAGTAGACTCTGCGCTGAGCACCAACCCTGACATGGGGCTCAGTCTCATGACCCTGAGATCACGAGCTGAAACCAAGAGTCGGACACTTAACTGACTACGCCACCCAGGCGCCCCTCTTTGTGGTTATTTTAAAGCAAGTCCGCTGTCCTGTCTTACCATCTGTGGATGCTGCAGTGTGGAGCTTTACTAGATAAAGAACCCCCCCACACCGCTTTTTTACAGAATCACAATACTATTATTATGCCTATCAATATCAGTGGCAATTCTTTAACATCCTTGAAACCTGCTTCACGGTTATATTTAACAGTTATCGGAAAATGTATCTTTTTATAGTTGATGCCTTTGAATCATGGTCCAATCTTCTCTTACTTAAAAGATACTAAGTATTTACGCTAATATCAAAGTAGCAGAAAAAGAAATCAAGGAATCAATCCCATTCGCAGTTGCACCAAAGGCAATAAGATACCTAGGAATGAACCTAACTAAAGAAGTAAAAGATCTATGCTCTGAAAACTATACACCACTTAGGAAAGAAATTGAAGAGGACACAAAGAAATGGAAAAACATTCCATGCTCATGGATTGGAAGTACGAACATTGTTAAATGTCTATACTACTCAAAGCAATCTACAAATTTAATGCAATCCCTATCAAAGTACTACCAGCATTTTTTACAGAGCTAGATAGAACAAACAGTCCTAAAATCTGTAAAGACCCTGAATAGCGAAAGCAATCCTGAAAAAGAAAAACAAAACTGGAGGCATCACAATTCCAGATTTCAAGCTCTATTACAAAGCTGTAGTCATCTGGACAGTCTGGTACTGGCAGAAAAACAGACACATAGATCAATGGAACAGAATAAAGAACCCAGAAATGGGCCCGCAATTTGTCAACAAATCTTTGACAAAGCAGGAAAGAATATCCGATGGAAAAAAGACAGTCTCTTGAACAAATGGTACTGGGAAGACTAGACAGCCACATGCAAAAGAATGAAACTGGACCACTTTCTCACACCACACACAAAAATAAACTCAAAATGGGTGAAAGACCTAAATGTGAGACAGGAAACCATCAAAATCCTAGAGGAGAACACAGGCAGCAACCTCTTTGACTTCGGCTGCAGCAACTTCTTACTAGACATGTCGCCAGAGGCAAGGGAAACAAAAGCAAAAATGAACTGTTGGGACTTCATCAAGATAAAAAGCTTCTGCACAGTGAAGAAAACAATCAACAAAACTAAAAGGCAGCCTACAGAATGGGAGAAGATATTTGCAAACGACATATCTGGTAAAGGGTATCCAAAATCTGTAAAGAATTTACCAAGTTCAACACCCAAAAAACAAATAATGCAGTTAAGAAAGGGCAGAAGACATGAATAGACACTTTTCCAAAGAAGACATCCAAATGGCCAACAGGCACGTGAAACGATCTTCAACATCACTCATCATCAGAGAAACACAAATCAAAACCATGATGAGATACCACCTCACACCTGTCAGAAGGGCTAAAATTAACACAAGGAACAAGTGTTGGCGAGGATGTAGAGAAAGGGGGACCCTCTTGCACTATTGGTGGGAATGCAAACTGTTGCAGCCACTCTGCAGAACAGTTTGGAGGTTCCTCAAAAAGTTAAAACTAGAGCTACCCTATGAGCCAGCAACTGCATTACAAGGTATTTACCCCAAAGATACAAATGTAATGATCCAAAGGGGTACGTGCACCCTGATGTTTATAGCAGCAATGTCCACAACAGCCAAACTATGGGAAGAGCCCAAATGTCCATCGACAGATGAGTGGATAAAGAAGATGTGGTGTATTTATACAATGGAATATTACTCAGCCATCAAAAAGAATCTTGCCATTTGCAATGACATGGATGGAGAGTATAATGCTAAGCGAAATAAGTCAGTCAGAGAAAGACAAATACCATATGATCTCACCCGTGTAATTTAAGAAAGAAAACAGATGAACATATGGGAAGGGGGAAAAGAAAAAGAAGGGGGAGGGAAACAAACCATAGAGACTCTTAATGATAGAGAACAAACAGATGATGGAGGGAGGTGGGTGGGGGATGGGCTAGATGGGGGGATGGGGATTATGGAGGGCACTTGTCATGATGAGCACTGGGTGTTGTACGTAAGTGATGAATCACTGAATTCTACTCCAGAAACCAATATTGCACTGTATGTTAACTAACTAGAATTTAAATTAAAAAAAAAAAAAAGTACTGAGTATTTAGGAGAATTTTTATCTGATTTTAATTGTTACTGAAGGAATATCTCCCCCCTCCCTCCCTTGGCCTTTTCAGAAATACTTGCTGTTTCTAATAGTACTACTACCCTTTCATGGTAGACTGTCGTTCGAGACCTTATCTTTACATTCAGTGTTGGATCTTCAGTTTCCGAGGTGGAAAATGCTGGCCATGGGTGTCTTCCTCAGGCTTGTTTTCTAGATATCATTTATATATATTTCAAAATAAAAAATATATACCTTTAGATATATATATAAACAATTTATATATTATATATTTTTATGTATTCTAAAAATCATATTTTTATTTTAATATCTATAAAGATATGTTTATTTTTATATATTCCAAAATAGATGTTTTATCTGTATCATATATAATTATATATATAGTACATATATATAATTTTGAAATAGTTTATGAGTATTATTTATTATATATTATAATTATATAATATATAATATGTATCCTATATAATATATGATATATAATTAAATGTATCATATGTATCATAATTACATATGATATGCAATGATACATATATATATAATTTTGAAATAGTTTATGAGTATTATTTATTATATATTATAATTATATAATATATAATATGTATCCTATATAATATATGATATATAATTAAATGTATCATATGTATCATAATTACATATGATATGCAATGATACATATATATATAATTTTGAAATAGTTTAAGACCCACCAGAGGTTACAAGACAGTGTAGAGAGGTCCCCTGTCCCCCTCACTCAGCTTCCCCCATGACCGTATCCTATGTAACCACAGTACATTAGCAAGACCAAGACATTGACATTGGCGCAGCGCCCTTAACTTGGTATCGACCTTACTCCGATTTCACCAGTTTCGCCCCGGCTCCTAGATGTCCTTTGGTTGTGTGCGAGGCTGCCGTGGCTCAGAAGAGCTACATATAAGAGCTAGGCCTTGGATGAAGCAAGAACCAGAACATTCCATGTCTGTTGTCTGTCCTTACCACACGCTTCTTTGTTCACCACATTCTTTCTGGAAGTCAGGGTCAGGTGAGCCCGAAGACTTGGCTTGTGCCTGTGCTGGTTGGTTACCAGTCAGGTTGCCGGTGGCCTGACTGTAGCTTCCACGCCCGGTGGGTTCCTGGCCTGCCTCGGGAATTCAGAGGGGCCCCTCTCTCTGCAGGTGACCTGCCGAGCCGTGGGGATCGGGGCCTACTTGGTGAGGCTGGGCCAGCGAGTGATCCAGGTGGAAAACTCTCACATCATCCTGACGGGAGCTGGCGCTCTCAACAAGGTGACCGCGGAGGAGCTTGGCGGGGAGGGGGCTGCCATCGGTGGGGGGAGCTGGGACTCACTCTAACATTCCCATATCCCCTGATGGGGCAGTTTTGTCAGGGTGAAACCAGTGTCCTTCCTACTGACGTCTTCTAGCTCTTTTTCCAATGTGCACTTATCTGAGTCTCTTCTGAGCCGAAAAAAATTATTTTTTTAAAGATTTTATTTATTTGAGGGGTGCCTGGGTGGCTCAGTTGGTTAAGCGACTGCCTTCGGCTCAGGTCATGATCCTGGAGTCCCAGGATCGAGTCCCGCATCGGGCTCCCTGCTCAGCAGTGAGTCTGCTTCTCCCTCTGACCCTCCCCTCTCTCATGCTCTATCTCATTCTCTCTCTCAAATAAATAAATAAAATCTTTACAAAAAAAAAAAAGATTTTATTTATTTGAGAGAGAGCGAGTCCTAGCAGGGGGAGGGACAGAGGCAGAGGGAGAAGCAGACACCCTGCTGAGCAAGGAGCCCGAAGCAGGCCTCGATCCCAGGACCCTGGGATCATGACCTGAGCCGAAGGCAGATGCTCAACCTACTGAACCACCCAGGCGCCCTGAGCCAAAAAAATTTAAAAAAATATATTAAGGCTCTTGTGGTAGAACTCTCTTGTGTACTGACATTTAAGTGTTTAAAAATTATTAACGTGGCATTACATATTGCAGAAAATTGGAAAGAGATGCCCCCCCCCAACTCCCCCAGTAATTTGGCTCCTACTAAAATTTTGCTGTATTTCCTTCTCTCTACTTGACTCCGGGTAAATGTGGAGTGTGGTATTCTACTGTTTTCACTGTATTAAAACATACCCCCACGTGGCCATAAAGCCTCCGTGATATAATGTCTGATAGAATCCCACTGAAGTTCTCAAAGTCTGCTCCCCGGACCGGCAGCATCAGCCTCACCAGGGAACCTGTTAGGAATGCAGATTCTTAGGCCTCGGTGCCAACCTGCTGAATCAGGAACACGGAGTGGGGTTTCTTTTTTTGAGAAGACCGAAGTCATCTGGTGGGCTCACTGGTTCTCACATCGGGCTGCATGTTGGAATTATCTAGAAGTTGAAGGAAAAAAATACTGATGCCGTGCCCCAGCCCCAAAGATTCTGCTGTAATGGATCTGGGTGCAGCCTGGGTGGCAGGACTTTTGAGAGCTCCCAGGTCATTGCAGTGTGCAGGTTGAGGACCACAGTGGGAGAGGATTTCCAAACGGATGGGAGGGGCCTGAGCCGGGCAGGCCCTTGCTAAGCGTGCCATGTCAAAGCAGGTCCTAGGCAGAGAGGTTTACACCTCCAACAACCAGCTGGGCGGTGTGCAGATCATGCATTACAACGGCGTCTCCCACATCACCGTGCCAGATGACTTCGAGGGCGTTTACACCATCCTGGAGTGGCTGTCCTATATGCCAAAGGTGCAGTACCCGCCCTGCGGCTTCGAGTCGGGAAGATGTTGTGATCAGGTTCATTTGCTGGGTAACATGGGAGTTTGGCAAAGAGGGAGCTCTGTCACTGTGGCGAGGGTTAATTTTTCTTTGCTCCTCCCTCCTTCCCTCTCTGACACCCAGCCCTGTACTGGCTGTTGTTCGCTTTTTTTTTTTTTTTTTTTAAATGCCATTGTCAGGATGCCTTTGGAAAGGGGTGGCATTGCCTCTCATCAAAAGACGTAACACTGAACAAGAGACTCCTGGAGCTTTGCAGCCAGGCTGGATTTGCTTCCTGGCTCCCTCCTCCCTAGCAGTGAGACCTTGGGCCAGTCTCTTAATCTTTCTGAGCCTCAGTTTCCTCATCGGTGAAATGGGAATCACAAGAGCACATACCCCAGGGTGTTAGCCTGATGATTCAGGGCAATGATGTTGAGAGCCCGGCACCAAATGCTACTTGTCCTGGTAATGACTGGCTAGTTCGGCCTGGGCTCTGCTGCGTGACCAGGCATAATCGTGGTCGGAGGAGAGAAGCAGATCGCAGGCATCACTGACAAGCACAAGGAGACAGAGTTGGTTTCCTTTTCTAGGATAATCACAGCCCAGTCCCCATCATCACACCCACGGACCCCATTGACAGAGAAGTTGGATTCTTCCCGACCAGGGCTCCCTATGACCCCCGGTGGCTGCTTGCAGGAAGGCCTCACCCCAGTAAGTTCTAAAATGCTTTGCCTGACCCCTGGCTCTTGAGTTTCTTTCCTGCACCTGGGACAAAGGAACACTCAGAGAGAAGCAGAGATCCTTGGCCACGTGTCCCAGAGGGGTACCCCTGAGATCCCATGTGGAGGGAGCGGAGGGAGCGGGGTTTTTTCCCACTGTGCTTCTCCTGAGCTGTTAACCAAGAAGGGGTGGAAAGAGCCTCTGGTTTCTGGGGCTGGTAGATGGAGGGGGAGTGCGACACAGCGCATGGCCTCCCTCCCTCAAGCCGCCCCATGGTTACAGAGGTGGACAATACAGACATCAGTGTCTAAGAAGAGACTACTCCCCCTCTCCCTCTTTCTTTCTGGCTCTCTGTTTGGCTCTCCTTACTAAGGTAGCCCTCCAGGGGTTCACCCGGGACGGATGACCTAGCTTCTTCTGCACACTCACACATAGAGATGGGCACGCTCCTGCTTGCACACACACATTCTCTCTGTCCCTCCCTCTCTCTGAAAGGGGCCGGTTTGTCTCCGGCAGGCGTATGGTTACGTTCTGAGCAGCCAGAACAGAACAGGAAAGCTGAGCTGCCCCCGTGCCCATAATCCCCGATCTGTAATTTCAGACGCTGCCACAGAGTCAGAAACCGGCCTGGCCGTCCAACCAGCTGCGTGGCACAGGAGACCCCTCAGCCTGCTTGCCCCTCTTGTGTTTCTCTTGGGCTTTCTTGCCTGTGAGCACCGAGGGGGGTGGCTTTAACCTGATTATAAAATATCCAACTTGTTTCTGACCGTTTTCGCCATCAAGTCAGGCCAGCCCCCAGGCAGACACTGGAGTCGGGCTGTTGGGGTTCAGGCACCCAGCTTCCCTCCCTGGCAGCTCGGGACCCTCCTGTCACCTAGCTCCTTTCTCCTTGCCCGAACCCCGTGATGGACGCGTCACTGCTTCCTGTGCAGGGATGGCTGCAGCTGACATCGTCCTGCCCTCCCTCCTCCCTTCCTCTTCTTTCTCCATCTCTCTCTCTCTTTTGGAAGGAGACAGTGCCCCCCCACCCCCACGCCCCAGTTAAATGTTGTGAGGCTGCAGCCGGCATGTTGAGGATGAGGTTTTCAGGGCAGGTGGTCCCTTCCCCAAATCCCACCTTTTGAAGGTGTCCCGTCAACCGTCTGCTTCTTGGGCTCATCCTTGGGATTAGGATCTCTGTGTGTGTGGCATTGACAGGAGCTGACGTAGTTAGATGTTCCAAGTGGGCTGAATTCCTGACGTGGTCTATTTCCTGCAGCCCTGTTTTTGGGGGATTTTTTTGTTGTTGTTTTGTTTTGTTTTTTAATGGGGTTGGGATCCGTATGGTTTTCTGGAGAAACAGGTGTTTGGGCGGTCAAGGCCAGGTTGTCTGTCCCACTAGGCAGACCCAGGGACCCTCATCAACCCAACCCCTTGGCCTGGGCTTATGTGCTCCTGTCCACAGCTCTGAAGGGATCCTGGCAGAGTGGATTCTTTGACCATGGCAGTTTCAAGGAAATCATGGCGCCTTGGGCCCAGACCGTGGTGACAGGACGAGCAAGGTAACGTGAAGGACAGGGCAGGCTGCACTCACCTGGCCTCCCTGGTTATCGGGACTCCTGGGCACTAGGCCAGGGGTCCTTTCCTCTCGGGTGACCCCCCAAGAGCACTTTCCTTCTGGCCTTGGGATTTTCTGAAAGAAAAACCAATCGGGGGGATCGTTTTCTGGATGATGAACTTCTTCATAAAGTCTGGATTTTTCCGTGGCCTTAGTAGGCATCTCAGCCATCTTGTTGCTGAGGGCCAGCACCCTGGCCCCTAGTGTCTGCCCCTGGGGCAGGGCTCCCTAGCCACGGGGGGCCATGGGCCCCTTTGGGAATCAGAAGACAGCTCCGGATGCTCCCACCAGAAAATTGCACAGACGCTCCAAACTATGAATTCCATTTCAGGAGGGCCGTGGTCAGAAACCCCCTTGTCTACGCAGCTGGTGGATGGCTTAAATGCTTGAATGCTCCCAGAACTGAGCAGCTCATTCCTCAGTGGTATAGTCCTCAACTTTCCAGACATGTCCTGCTCCCTGCAAGATCCTTCCTATGTGGAGCCCAAAGCAGTGTCCTTATAATTTACCAGATTCCCGGCACTATATAGTTGCTACAGGTTCCGGCTCTGGAGTCAGATCTGAGGTCAAGCCCAGCTGTGTCACTCACCCTCTCTGGGCCTCCACATGCTCATCTGTAAGATGGGGATGATAATCCTACCCCAGAGGACTGTTGTGATGATGTATGTTAAGCACTTACAATATCATAAATGCAGGCGCCTGGGTGACTCGGTTGGTGAAGCATCCAGTTCTCGACCTCCGCTCAGGTCTTGATCTCAGGGTCGCCAGTTCAAGCCCCATATTGGGCTCCATGCCAGGCGTGGAACCTACTTTAAAAAAAAAAAATCATGAATGCTCCGTAAGTGGTAGCGCCTGCTAGTACTGTCTTTGTTGTTGTTATTATTTAAGCCTTGTATTAACAGCTGGTTCACATTTCCATAAATGTTTTATTTTAAAAACATTTTTTTTTTAAGCCTGAAATGAGATCGGCTCCCCCTTCCACATGGAAGCCCTTCCTTTCTTTAAAGACTTTCCCTCCACCTGCCTCGTAGGGTCATTGAGAGCGTAAACAAGGGTAACCCAGGGTCGCACCCGGCACAGGGCCGGCCCGTAGCAAGGTAACAAGTGGTGACAATCACTGTTGTCGTAGAATCCCCCTGAGCAGAGGCTTCTTCAGGCTCAGCATCCCTCAACCCTTTCCAAACGTGCCTCGGTGCCTAGACCCGCCCTGTCCCCATGTGGGAGCTGCTGGCCACATGTGACCGTTCAAACCTCAACGAGTTGAAAGAGGTCCCGTTCCTCCGCTGCACTTGCCACATTTCCGGTGCTCAGCATCCACAGGAGGTGGCTCATTGCAGCGGCTGTTCTGGATGGCACAAGACCGTGCACAGCATCGCGGGAAGTTCTAGTGGACAGCGCTGCTCCTGTCCCTGCACTGGCCCGACCGGCCCTGTCGCCATGACAGCTGGTGCCCCAAGAGGGGCGCCGATAGCACCTTTCCAGCCTGCCCACTTGTGAGGAGGCTCTTATTGCTTTGGAGCCTTCCAAATGAATGCCCTCCAAGAAAATGACCCGCCAGAGTAAAAACCGTGCTGTCTTGTGTGTGCCCCCCTCCCTGCCATGAGTGCCCGTGTACCCAGGATGCCTGTAGAATGTCAGCCGGGGCTGGGAGGACCCATCTACCCCTGAATCCACAGGGGGGGCGGGTTGCAGGTGTCGCCTGACTGACCCAGCCTGGCTGACCCATGCCCGCCTCGCAGGCTAGGGGGGATCCCTGTTGGAGTGATTGCCGTGGAGACGCGGACCGTGGAGGTGGTGGTGCCTGCGGACCCTGCCAACCTGGATTCAGAGGCCAAGGTGAGGGGGCTGGGAATTTGGGACTGCTATTTCAGCTGGCTTAGGCAACAACAGTGGGTCCTGGGTGGTCGCACGCCAGGGCCTGGGGCCAGTCCTTGGCCACGGGGGGGCGCATTTTTCCAGCACGGTTTCTGTGGAATGCAAAAATGTCCCCCACGGTTTTTCTTCTTCAGAGGGTGACAAGTCCCTGGGAATCCTTCCTGCCTTCCGCCTCCGGCCTTGTCATTGTGTCTAGGGTGGGCCATGGCACATACTGGGAGGAGCTCAGAAGGCAGAGGGTGGGTCCTAGGACTCGGTGCGGCCGGGACTAGCTTGGCACTTTGCACCCCTTTGAGCCTAAAAATGAGGCAGAAGGGACCTGCAGCCCATGAAGGCAAGCAGGGCCCCTAGCAGGCGAGCTTTGGGCCCTCCCTGTAAGCCCATGGCTCTGGTGTAGGTGCCAACACAGATCAGATTGCCTGCCCTCTAGGGTGTGGTTCAGATGGCTGTCCCCATGTCCTCTTGCCGCTCTTGCACAGAGGAGTCTGATCCAGGCCACTCTGTGTTTCAGATAATCCAGCAGGCGGGCCAGGTGTGGCTCCCAGACTCGGCCTACAAGACGGCCCAGGCCATCAACGATTTCAACCGAGAGAAGTTGCCCCTGATGATCTTTGCCAACTGGAGGGGGTTCTCTGGTGGCATGAAAGGTAAGGCTGCCTCTCCTCTGGGTGTCCTAAAGCTGCGGGGTCAGCACCGCGGGCAGGGAAGCCCCCTCAAGGTGGTGCTACGGTTCTATTCTGGATGGCTCTGTCATCCTCTTAGCTGAGACCCCCATTGCCCTGAGGACAGGAGCAGTTGAAGTCACATCTTCCCATCTTACAGATGAGGAACTGAGGGTTCCCGGTGTGACTTTCCAGAGGTCACACTGTTAGGGGCAGGGCCAGGAGGGCAGCCCTGGGAACTTCCCTCCTGTGAAGGGGCTAAGAAGAAGACCAACCCCAGAGGTCCAAGGTGAGGATTTGATGAGCTGATCACTGGTATGTGGTGTTAGCTCTTGGTGTGATGATGCCTGATTTTATTGTTGCATTGTAACCATGTAAGGTGCCTGGTACTTGGAGGTCCCCATCTTGGTGGAAAATAAGGGCCATACTGTGTGTGGGCAGGAGGCAAGGACCTGTGTTATTGCTGAGTAGGTTGTCTGTGTGTAGAACCAACAGGACAGGGCAGGGGGCGGTCAGTCACCGGCGAGGGCATCCCAGAGTCAGAACTGGAAGGAATCTTTGGGATGGCCCTACACCTCCTTTTACAGATGGGGACACTGAGGCCCAGGCAGGGAGAGTGACATGTCCGAGGTCACATGGACAGGCAGGGTGCCGTCTGTACCTGGGCTCACTCCTGACTCCCAGCCCAGAGCTCTTTCCATGGTGCCACCAAGCACCCCAGCTGAACACTTTCTCAGGACCCCCAGGGCGATGAGGGCTGCGGGCTTGGCATGCGGACAGGTGCTGGGGCCTGCAGCCTCCTCAGCAGGTGACTGCTTTGTTTTGCAGACATGTACGACCAGATGCTAAAGTTTGGAGCCTACATCGTGGACAGCCTCAGGCAGTACAAACAGCCCATCCTGACCTACATCCCACCCTACGCGGAGCTCCGGGGGGGCTCCTGGGTGGTCATGGATTCCTCCATCAACCCCCTGTGCATAGAACTGTATGCAGACAAGGAGAGCAGGTGGGTGTGTCACCCTCTGCCTGGCTGAGCCTTGGCTTATTCTCCCTCCCAGACCTGAGAGCCCGTTGTCATCTTTAAGCTGATGGCCAGGAATTGCCAGGCCATTGAAGTTCTTTTGGTTTCTTTTTTTTAAGATTTTTATTTATTTGAGAGAGAGAGAGAGTGAGCACGAGCCAGGGGGAGGGGCAGAGGGAGAGGGAGAAGCAGGCTTCCCACCGAACAGGAAGCCCGACACAGGGTTCGGTCCCAGGACCCCGGGATCATGACCTCAGCCGAAGACAGACGCTTCACCGACTGAGCCACCCAGGTGCCTGGCATTCTGAGTTTCTGAAGGATGGAGAGCCTCCAGTTTTACCAATCTGAAACTAGCATCCAGTGCACAAGTAGATTTTCTCAGGAGAAGGGGCGCCGGGGTGGCTCAGTTGGTGAAGCGTCTGCCTTCAGCTCAGGTCGTGATCCCAGGGTCCTGGGGATCGAGTCCCGCATCGGGCTCCCTGCTCCATGGGGAGTCTGTTTCTCCCTCTGCCCCTTTGCCCACTTGTGTTCTCTCTCTCAAATAAATAAATAAAATCTTAAAACAAACAAACGATTTTTCTCAGTAGAGTTAGTAGCTGGAGCCGGAGATGGCAGAAGAACTGTTGTTTGTTCTTTCATGACTTAATATTCACCTGCTTCCCAAGGAAGTTTGCAATCAAAAAATCAGGAAAGATGGAAAGCACTTGAGCTTCCTGGCAGCCAGGATGAAAAGGGAAATAAAACTCGTCATCTGCTTCCTCCTGGACTCTGATTCTCTCCCAAAGCTATGAGTTCCTGTAGGGGCCGTGCTTTATTCGGTTTTATAACCCAGGGCCTGGCACCATGCTTGATTGCTAGGGGGTGGTTGGAAAATAGTAGCTAGGGGTGCCTGGGTGGCTCAGTCGTTGAGCGTCTGCCTTCGGCTCAGGTCATGATCCCAGGGTCCTGGGATCGAGCCCCACATCGGGCTCCCTGCTCAGCGGGAAGCCTGCTTCTCCCTCTCCCACTCCCCCTGCTTGTGTTCCCTCTCTCGCTGTGTCTCTCTCTGTCAAATAAATAAATACAATCTTGAAGAAAAAAAAAAAGAAAATATAGTGTCTGAACCAATGACAGAATTGATACTTGCATGAAAGGATACCAGTTCTTCAGGGGAAAAAAACCTTGATGCTTTTCTGAGGAGGAATTCATCCCAGGAATGTTTACAGAAAGAATAATAATTGCAATACTTGCCACACAGTGTTTGAATGACTTTAAAGTGAAGACTCTGCTCTATGGTGTATAGGATATAAAGACCTCAGGAGTAGTTCTATCCAAGATAGAGGTTTCCTCTGCTCATGTCATTCATTCATTCTTTCAGTGAAGATTTATTGAGCACCTACTATGTGCCAGGCATTATGATAAACATTGTGATGTGCAAATGAGCCAAACCTATCCTGCCTTCAGTGCATCTAGGCCCTCCTGGGGGGGCTGTTGAGGTCAGACCTCCAGGAAGACTCAGGATACAAGCAGCCTCGAATGGAGTCATCATGAACTTTTCACTCTGGCCACCAGGAAACTCAGAGCTCCATGGAATATTCCTCAGGGCTTCCAAGCTATCAAAGGATGGGGGGCAGTCTGAGGGGTGAGTGACAGGCTTGAAATGGGAGGCCAGCTCCTACTGGACCATGTGGAGCTCTATATTGTGACTCCATGAGCTTTAAGGAGATCAGAAACAGTACCGCGGCCCAGGGAGAACAGACATTAGGAGAGTCATAAAGGACTGTGGCTGAAGAGCAGGGGGGCTAGGCTGTTCTGGGGAAAGTCATATGCTCTCAGAGCTGAAAGGGCCTTCCAGAGCTCAGAAAACTTGATTTTAAAATGTGGACTCAGCCCCTCATTTTATGGATATAGAAGCAGGTGACCAGAGATTCCCCTCTGACTTGCCCAAGTCACGGAGTGAGTCCGTCAAAGAGCTAAGAAGTCACAACCCAGATTTCCTGGCTCTCCTGCCTCCACTGCCTTGTTGGGGAACATCTCCTACATCTCCAACCCCTGCCTTTTCTTTTTTCAGGGCGAATATTCTGGAGCCGGAGGGCACAGTGGAGATTAAGTACCGAAAGAAAGATCTGGTAAAGACCATGAGAAGGATTGACCCGGCTTACAAGAAGCTCGTGGAACAGCTTGGTAAGAGGGTTGGAAGTGCGCCATCTCTCAGAGGGCAAGAGAAGCCCAGCCTGCTCCACTGCTAGAGGTTTCTAGTTTGGTAAAAAAGTGAAACGTACCAAAACACACCTACAAAAATGGTGAGATGTTTTCAGTGTTCTCGTGTAGCAAAATCGACCCCTTTAATGCTAAAAAAAAATGTTTAGTGCCTCAGTGTATATATTTCTCAACACACACAAAAAGAAAAATGGAAGTATTTGGGGCCAGTAAAGGAGATCAGCATTTACTCACAGCAAGGTGTCCTTTTAGAATTTTCCATCAGACAAAATATTTTACCAGCTTTGTTTGAGTGATAGCTTTGTTTCACCTGTAACCTTAGATGTAATTCTCTTTAAAAGCCCATGTTGGGGGCACCTGGGTGGCTAAGTCAGTTCATCGTCTGACTCTTGATTTGGGCTCAGGTCCTGATCTCAGGGTTGTGGGATCGAGGCCCACATCTGACTGTGGAGCTGACTGTGGAGCCTGCTTGAGATTCTATCTCTCCCTCTCCCTCTGCCCTTCCTCCCCAGCTCATTTGCTCGCTCACTCCCTTAAAGTCCATATTGGATGGCAATATCTTTATAACTGTACTCGTCACAAGATTTATCCGTGTGTGTGTGTGTGTGTGTGTGTTCGTGTGTGTGTGATTTCTTTGGTTTGGTATCAGGGTAATGCCAATCTCTTAGAATGAGTTGTGAAGTGTTCTCTCCTATTTTCTGATTTTGAATTGGCATTATTTCTTTAAATCTTCGGTAGGAGGTTTCTAGCTACAAATTCCTCTTTGTTATATATAGGACTATTGAGGCTATCTGTTTCCTCTCGGCAGAGCTCAAAGAATTTGTCTATTTCATCTAAGGTGTGAAATTGGCAGAGTTGTTTATAATCTTCCCTTCTTATCTTTTGCAATATGCAAAGCACAGTGGTTCTTTCTGATTAAAGGGGGCACATGCAGAGTTGCAGGCTCAATGCTGTCTCTCCGTTGTGAGTGCCTCCCTGAGATGGCAGGAGCAGCTGGATTGGGGGGTGCGATTGGAATTCAAGTGTGATGGGCTTGTGCCGCAAAGCCTGGTTTGTGCCCTTGCCCACAGGAATGTCGGAGCTGTCCGACAAGGACCGCGAGGACCTGGAGGGCCAGCTGAAGGCCCGGGAGGATCTGCTGCTGCCCATCTACCACCAGGTGGCGGTGCAGTTTGCCGACCTACACGACAGGCCCATCTGCATGCTGGAGAAGGGTGCCATCGCTGTAAGAGCCTGCGGCTGTGGGGCAGGGCATGAGTGGGCCATCCTAAGGTCACCTGGCTTCCAAACAGGAGGCGATCTGGGCGGGAACGCCATACGTTAGAATCACCTGGGGAGCTATAAAGAAAAAAAAAAAATCCCAGGGCCTAGGTGGCTCTCCAGACTAATTAAATCGGCTGTGGCGGGGAGCCTGGCATCAGTATGGTTTCAAATCCCCGGGAGATTCCAACAGGCAGCAAGGTTTGGGAACCACCAGTCTGACCTCTGTGTGTGTGTCTGTAACTGCTGGGCCACATTTGAGACTGGTTGGTCCTGCCCTGCACTCACCCAGCACTGCTGGTCCCAAGCTCTGCCCCATCGCGCTGCCCCCAAGAGGCTATCATAGAGTCAGCCTACCACCCTGTGTGTGGTGCTCCCCTCCCCAGCCAGCCTAAGCCCTGCATGCCTCTGGTAAGCCAGTGTCGGGTTCTGGCGGCATCTCCCCTCTGCCACCTCCCCGGGCAGGGGCCTCCACCTCTCCCCAAAGCCTCAGCTGCCTGGTCTGTAAAATGGGAACGATCGGAGAGCCTGCACCTCGTGCGGGGCCCAGCCCCGACAGTGCCCTGTATTTCCCCCTGCCCTCCCGGAGGGCTCAGGCCTGGGGCTTGTCCGCAGGACATCCTAGAGTGGAGGACCGCACGCACCTTTCTGTACTGGCGCCTGCGCCGTCTCCTGCTGGAGGACCAGGTCAAGCAGGAGATCCTGCAGGCCAGCAGCGAACTGAGCCACGTGCACATCCAGTCCATGCTGCGCCGGTGGTTCGTGGAGACCGAGGGGGCCGTCAAGGTGGGCCTGGGGTGGAGACGGGATGGAGACGGGGCAGGGGCTATGGGGGACCAGAGGCTAGCTAGACTGCTGGGCGTGGGGTCCATCTCTCCCCTCCCCCAGGCCTACCTGTGGGACAACAACCAGGTGGTGGTACAGTGGCTGGAACAGCACTGGCAGGCGGGGGACGGCCTGCGCTCTACCATCTGCGAGAACATCAAGTGCTTGAAGCGAGACTCCGTCCTCAAGGCCATCAGAGGGTAAGTGGCCACCCCGCCCCCCTGCCCATCTCTTGGACTTCTTGGCAAGTGCGGGAGCCAGGATTTTCCTCCAGCCACATGACTCCAGAGTGGCTGCGTGGTCCCCGGGCCTCGGGCTTAGGGCTGTATTCCTTGCTGGAATCTGTAGGGCGACTCATCCCAAGGTCACAGCTAGAGCACTTTTTTTTTTTAAGATTTTATTATTAGCACGCACAAGCAGGGGGGAGCGGGAGAGGGAGAAGCAGATCCCCCGCCGAGCAGGGAGCCCGATACGGGGCTCCATCCCAGGACCCCAGGATCATGACCCAAGCCGAAGGCAGCCGCTTCACCGACTGAGCCCCCCAGGCACCCCAACTAGAGTGCATGTGTGAGAACCCACATTCCTTCCTGCTAGGCTGTAGGCTGCTGCCTCCCATTTGGTATCAGCCTTCCCCAAGGATTTGCTCACCCCATTACAACAGGGTCCCCTGTGAGGTGGGTAGGAGATCCCGTAGGACCCCATTTGGGGAACGACGCTGAGGTTCCGGGGACGTGCCGTCTGTCCAGTCGCACAGCTAGTGACTGATGGGGTCCACCGTCCTCCGGGGTGTTCTCATCCCCAGGTGGTGTTCCCTCCCGCCACACGGGACCATCACCCCCATGGTGACCACAGCACAAAGAGATTTGGGAGCTCTGGGTTGTCACGCACACCGGAACATTACACGGGCCCCGCGCAGGGATTCTTGGGGCCTGCTCTAGGGCCCACTGACCTGAGTGGCAGGAATGACCCCAGCCCTCTCTCCCCTCCCACCGCAGCCTGGTGCAGGAGAACCCTGAAGTGGCCGTGGACTGCATCGTGTACATGAGCCAGCACATCAGCCCAGCCGAGCGGGCCCAAGTCCTTCACCTCCTGTCCACTGTGGACAGCCCAGCCTCCACCTGACCCCTGCCACCTCGCCACTTGCAGGACCACACGCAAGAGAAACCATGCTGACCCGCCTACCGCAGGCCTCATCAGGACCTTGGGGGTTTGCTTTAAAAAAAAAAAAAAAAAATCCTGGGCATTTCTGCAGGGCTGCTGGCCTCCCACTCACTCCTGTCTCAATAAAAGGCTCAGGAGTGTCCCCTTCCAAACAGAAATAGCTTCCTCTCCGTTGCTGGGAAGTTTGTTCTAGTGTCTCTTGAGACAACACATTTTGCTGCATCGCCGAATCAACCTGACCCCAAACACCCTGGTTTCCTTTTGCTTTCTGGTGCCTGGCGTGCGGGACCCAGGTGTTCTTGTAGGCTTGTTTTGTATCCGATCATGGAATCTTCTATTTTTTTACTCTTGAGACCAACTCTTGATGGAAGCATCTTCTATATTTCAGCAGAATAAATAGGCCAAGGAAAGAAGTACAGAGACAAGAAGAAAAAAAAAAACAAAACAAAAACCCTATTTCTGTAATGAGGCTTATTCGGATGCTGTCGAGTCACCCGGGAAAGGGTTGAATGATTTTTTTAGGAGAATAAAATGGTATATCGTTCCCCAAATGGCCCCTAGAGAGTCGCCAGGAACGTCTCATTGGTAGGCCATGCTTAGAGATTTTGTTTTTGAGAGAGAGACTGTAAATGCGCAGGATTGTCTGGCTGCCCCGTGGCTCCTAGCCCTCCGCCGGCCCCTTCCCTCCCCCTACACGCACCCTCGTGGCCAGTTGGGGAGTCCAGAGGCAGAAGGAAGACTGTCACCAGGCCGTGAGTATCGCTGCTGTGATTGCCACTACCCTCCCCGGAGAGCCCCTGTGCTGTCACTCACCTGGTGCCTCGATGTCTGTGGAGGGATCCAGCCCCAAGGGGCAGAGCTCTGGGTGTTCAAGGACGGGACCACAAGTGCTGCACCGATTTGCTCAGGGAGACCTCTGTGACATGCCCTCCGGCACTGGGCTCTGAAGGCTGCCCCACGTCAGACCTGCTATCCTCCTGGCCCCGTCCCTCAGTCCCCCGGCACCAGTAATGGGGGCAGTCGGCCGTCCCCCCCCCCCCCCCCCCGGGATGGGCAATTTGAGGACACCACGTGTCATGCCGGACCCGTTCGGAGGCCAGCGAGGATGCCCAGCGAAGCCGCCGCAAGCCAGGATGCTTGAGGATGCCTGAGTTGAAAAACATACAGTTGGGCCATCAACCAATGACGGCCCTGGCAAAGCCAAGCGTCCTGGCAGCAGTGAGGGGTGGGAGGGAGGTGAGTGAGCTGTTGCCCCATCCTGCGGCCTGTTGTGGGAGGGAGCAGACATCCGCGCTGCGCTGGGACCTGGATGTTTCCGAGTGCAGGAGGCTCCCGTGGTTTTGGAGGGAAAGAGAAGTCGATGACTAGCTGCTACCCAGGAAGGGTGGGTGGGGGAACCCACCAGGAGGTGTGTGGAATAAAGTATTTTTTAAAAGAAGCCCTTTGGCCTTGACTTATTCTCGGGACCAGAAAAGGCAGGCCGCCTCCCTGGGTGATTCCGCCGCAGCTCACCAGCCTCCTACATCGGCTGAAATCTTGAGCAAGCCCCCATCCGAGGAAGACAAAGCTCTGATAGGAGTTTGTATCCTGAAGACCACAGGCGGACTTGGTCTTTTCAGCTGGATTTCAAAAATGAGCGCGTGTCGCTATCTGCTGGCTGATGATGCTGAGTTTAGCGCATTGGCAGTCAGCTCAGCTGCAAGTCCTTTGCCTGATCAGGCTGACTTCCCTCCTTGGGGGACTTTGTGCAGCCGCCTCCAAGGAAGGGGTCGGGGTCATACCACCGAGTGTGGACAGAGGCCTCAGTGGGCAGCTTGGGTCCAGACCGGATGCTCAGGGTGATGGCCACTGGCTGTGTGTGGCGCCCTGACTTTATCCCATGCGATCCTCGGGAGCCCCTGAAGTCCATGCCACCCTCTATCCTCACTTCTATAGACAAGAAAACATCGGCTCAGAGATGAACAGACTTGCCTGAAGTCACACAGCTGGTGAGAGTTGGGGCCAGGCCCCCAGGCTGAGCCAGACTCAATCTTGCTAGGCTTCTGGCTTTCCCAGAAATCCTGAACCTTTGCAGAGGTTATATCCTGAAATGTGAGGACACCGTCTAGACTTGCCCCGCTCCTCCCCCCTGGCTAATCCAACCAACGTCATCACTTGGATCCTCATCGAGAACCTGGCACCTCTTGGGCCAGGCCTCTGCTGGAGGCCAGCTACCCTCTCCATTCACTGAAGTCTCTCCCTCCCTGGATCAGCAGATTCTGGAGCACCCCCCCGCCCCAAATCCCCTGAATGAGCCCTGTGTCCTTGCGCGTACAGCTTGTCCGAATCACAAATGTGGAGTGCTGCCAGACGGCATCCCAACTTCTGCCCCTTGGTTTGCCTTCCCCACCTAATTCTCCAGCTCCAAAAGTCAGTTGGCCTTTTAACCCAGGGTCATTCTTCCCCCTGCCACTTTGTTATGAAAAATCTCCAAATACCAAAAAGTCGAATTCTCAGCCGCAGAGCCCTAATCATCCAGTACTCACTGCTGTCCTTGACCTTTTCTTGTGCTGGTCCTTGCTTACTGCCTGTCTCTCCATCTATCCATCCCTCTCTCAATCTGTCAATCCATTTTCTTATTTGGACCCATTTCAGAGTGAATTGCAGACATTAGTATATTTCTCAAAATGCGTTTTTGTCTTTAAATCACATCCTGAGGGGCGCCTGGGTGGCTCAATCGGTTAAGCGTCTGCCTTCGGCTCAGCTCATGATCTCAGCCCCCCATTGGGCTCCCTGCTCAGAGGGGAATCTGCTTCTCTGCCCCTCCCCACCTCACCCCTCAGCGTGTGCTCTCTCTCTCTTGCTCACTCTCTCAAATAAAACCTTTAAAAAAAAATAATAAATCAGGGCGCCTGGGTGGCTCAGTTGGTTAAGCGACTGCCTTCGGCTCAGGTCATGATCCTGGAGTCCCGGGATCGAGTCCCACATCGGGCTCCCTGCTCGGCAGGGAGTCTGCTTCTCCCTCTGACCCTCTTCCCTCTCGTGTTCTCTATCTCTCATTCTCTCTCTCTTGAATAAATAAATAAAAATCTTTAAAAAAAAAAATCACATCCTGAGCTCCTCTGCAGGTGAGAGCACATTGAGAACAACAGAGGTGTGTTCAGATGAGGCGGCCAACCGCGTGGCTAGGGAGGGGGGCTCCGGCCTCCCAGGGCACAAGCCTGTCTGTGCCAATCATTTTCATCAACTATTTATTGAGCACGTACTACGTGCCAAGCACTGTGAGGGGCCACGGCCATGAGCAAGACAACCCACTCCCGCCCTCGGGAGCTGATAGCCAGAGTCCCCAAAGGTAGAAATTGCAAGTGGTTAACCATAAGGAGACCTTCCTGGTCACAACTATGGTTGCTATAGCAGCTGATGCCCAAGCCACGCCAAGGCTTTCTGCCAATAGTCGACCCCCAAAATGCCCCTTCACTGTTCCAAGTGCTCCCAGGGAAGAGTTCTCACTTGATCCTATATGGACTGGCATGAGCCACACCCAGCTTGCACACCTTTCCTACAGACTGTCATCTCATGCACCAGACCAAACTTGTCAGTTCACCTTCAGATGAGCACAGACTATTTCTCTTGGGAGAAACACTCCTTCCCCTTTGGCCTTTGCCTAGCTGACTCCTACTCATCCCTCAAAACCCAACTCAAATGGTGCTTCCTCCAGGTAGTTCTCCCTGACCACCCCCCCAATGGGTTGGGAGCCCATTCCCTGTGGTGCCTCAGCTTCTGTGTGTCTCCTCTTGCATGCTCATATATATATGAAATGTGGGTTTGAAAATGAAATGTACGCCTAGGGATCCCTGAATCCCTCTGGCTACTGAGCGGAGGAGGGATTTTGGAGAGCAGTCTTACCGGCAGAGAGGTGGTCCCCTTCTGGAAGGTGAGGGGAAAGGCCCCTTTCAATGATGATCTGTATCTTGTGATATTCTGACCCATGTGTAGCTCTGAGCAGCTCCATGTGCAAGAAACACAGGCCAAGAATCTAGGATGTTTCATTTTTTTATTAGGGTAAGATATACATAAGATTCACCATTTTGGCCATTTTGAAGTGTATAGTTGTGACGTTACGTACATCCACACTGTTGAGCAACCGGCACCGCCATCCGTCTCCACAACATTCTCATCTCAGACTGGAACTCCTTGCCCACTACACACCCCCACTGGCCCCTTCCCCCAGCCCTGGCAACCACCGGGGCATGAATTTGCCGACTCTGGGTACCTCCTATAAGTGGAATCATGCACTATTTGCCTTTTGGTGGCTGGCTTCTTTCACTCAGCATAATCTCCACAAGGTTCATCCCTGTTACAGCAGGTGCCCAAATGTCCGTCCTTTTTAAGGCTGGATAACATCCCATTGAACATATACACTACTCTCTGTCTGAGTCCGTTCAGGCCGCTGCAACAAAGTACCACAGACTTGGGGGCTTATAGCTTATAAATAACAATTTCATCGCTTACAGTTCTGGAGGCTGGAAATCCAAGATCAGGGTGACACCATGGCCAGGCGAGGGGCCTCTTCTGGGTTGCAAACTTCTTGCTGTGTCCTCCCCTGACAGAAAGGGCAGGGAGCTCTCCGGGGCCTCTTACAAGAGCATTAATCACATTCCTGACGGTTCCACCCTCGTGACCTAAGTACCTCTCGGAGACCCCACCTCCTGATGCCATCACGTGGGCTTTAGGATTTCAACTAATGAAGGGGGGGTGTGGCCAGACGTTCAGACCATAGCACCCACATTCCGTTTATCCATCCATCCATCGTTGGTCACTTGGGTTGCTTCCACCTTTTGGCTTTTGGGAATAATGCTGCTGTGAGCGTGGGCGTGCAAAGGTATCTCCGAGTCCCTCCTTTCACTTCTATTGGGGGTAGATGCCCAGACGTGGAATTGTGGACCAAACGGCAATTCTATGCTTCACTTTTGGAGAAGACGTGGTACTGTTTTCCGCAGGGGCTACACCGTCCTACAGTCCCACCGACAGGGCATGAGGGTTCTGGTTTCTCCATATCCTCCCCAACATGTACCGGCTTTTTGGTTCGTTTCTATAGCAGCCATCCTTACAAGTCAAGCCTAGAAGCAGTTTTAACTCAGAAGTCGTTGAACCTTTTTGCTTGCATCCCTCGCACAGGATGGCGGGGGGACATGCCGCCTCACCCGCGTGCGCCTTTAAATTTTCCTTCCCTGTGCATCGTGCTTCCCCCGCCCACCCAGCGGCTCCTGCCCTGGCTGCCCTGCCTTCCGCCAGTTTGGTCTTCGGCCTGCTACCCCTGGACTGGAGGTGCGGGTGCTGAGACCCCGGCGATGGGAGGCTCCACATTCGCACCCAGAGGAGGAACCGGCATCGACCAGAGGAGGCAACACCTGCTTCCTCATCTTCTCTCCTACGTCTTGTGTCCATTCCTTCTCTCCCTCTCTCCGAACCTCCACCAG